GATGGTGTGTGTGAGAGAGAGAGAGATGGTGTGTGTGTGTGAGAGAGATGGTGTGTGTGTGAGAGAGAGATGGTGTGTGTGTGTGAGAGACAGAGATGGTGTGTGTGTGTGTGAGAGAGAGAGAGATGGTGTGTGTGTGTGTGAGAGATGGTGTGTGTGTGTGAGAGACAGAGATGGTGTGTGTGTGTGTGAGAGAGAGAGAGAGATGGTGTGTGTGTGTGTGAGAGAGAGATGGTGTGTGTGTGTGTGAGAGAGAGATGGTGTGTGTGTGTGAGAGAGATGGTGTGTGTGTGTGTGAGAGACAGAGATGGTGTGTGTGTGTGAGAGAGAGAGATGGTGTGTGTGTGTGAGAGAGACAGAGATGGTGTGTGTGTGTGAGAGAGAGATTGTGTGTGTGTGAGAGAGAGAGAGATGGTGTGTGTGTGTGAGAGAGAGATGGTGTGTGTGTGTGAGAGAGATGGTGTGTGTGTGAGAGAGAGATGGTGTGTGTGTGTGAGAGAGAGATGGTGTGTGTGTGAGAGAGAGAGAGAGAGAGAGAGAGAGAGAGAGAGAGAGAGAGAGAGAGAGAGAGAGAGAGAGAGAGATGGCCCTCATGTGGAGACCAGAACGTCACCTTTGACAGGTTCCTCTCTTGTTCACGGCTGTGGAGGCCAGGCCAGCTGTCCTGCTGCTGTCTCTCACCTCTCCTTCTCTTCTAGGAGCACTGGTATTGCAAACTTGTGTGCAACTGTCTCTGGGTGTTTGGGATCCCAACGAAGCTGGTTAGGATTGTATAACCAGCGCTTTACACACTGAGTGTTTTCAGATAGGGTGTCATTTACCCCATGATGACCTTGAAACTCACTGTGCAGACGGGACTGACTTTGATTTGTATCTGTGTGCACACGCATGTGAGTGAGCGTATGTACACATGCCTGTGGAAGCCAGAAATTAACCTTGGGTGTCTTTTTCAATCACTTCCCACAGTTTTTGGTTTTTTTTTTTGTTTGTTTGGTTGGTTTTTTGTTGTTGTTGTTTTGTTCTTTTTTGGTTTCACGAGACAGGGTTTCTCTGTATTGTTTTGGAGGCTGTCGGTCCAGCCCGGCCTCGAACTCACAGAGATCCGCCTGCCTCTGCCTCCCGAGTGCTGGGATTAAAGGCGTGGGCCACCACCGCCCGGCTGTTTGTTTTAAGACAGGCTTTCTTTCTTTGTATAGCCCTGACTGTCCAGGAACTATAGACCAGACTGGCTTCAAAACTCAGGGATCGTCCTGCCTCTGCCTCCCCAGGGCTGGGATTACAGACACATACCAACATGCCCACAGTATTTTTTGAGATATGCTCTGTCATTGGACCTGGTGCTGACTGATTGAGCTAGACCGGCCAGAAAGCTTCCTTTGTCTCTGTTTCCCCACTAGTATTTCAGACAAGCCCTATTGGAGGATGCTGAGGACACAAACTCAGGTCCACGTGCTTGTGTGGTCCCCTTTACTAACGGAACCATCACCCTACCCTGCTGAAGCTGGCTTTTAACCTTTGCTCCTCCTGCCTCATCTCCCAAGTGCTATGATCCTGGGGATATACCACCACCACGCCTATCTCAAATCCATGTTTATTCTTTGGAATATTTGTGTAATGATGCAAAGATGTGTTGCATTCATTTGTTTAACTCTGTGAAGCTGTGTCACTGTGTCTGTCTAAAACCACTGATGGTCTAATATAGAGCTAAGCAAACAAATAGTGAAGCAGGAGAGAGGACGGGGGGGCAGGAGAGAGGACGGGGGGCAGGAGAGAGGGGGGCAGCAGGCAGAGAATAACTAGGAGAGATCTGAGAGGAGAAAAGCCAAGAAGCAAGAGAGAACAAGGAGAGGAGGATGTCAGGGACCAGCCACACACCCTATCATGGAGTAAGAGTGAAAGTAAGATATACAGAAGTAAGAAAAAGTCCAGAGACTAAAGGTAGATGAGATATTTTAAGGAAACCAGGCAAGGACTGGAGAGATGGCTCAGTGGTAATGAGATCTGTAATGAGATCTGGTGCCCTCTTTTGGCCTGCAGGCAAACATGCAGCCAGAACACTGTATACATAATAAATAAAGAAATAAAGCTCTTTTCTTCTTTTTTGTTTTTGTTTTTCCAGACAGAGTTTCTCTGTGTAGCTTTGGAGCCTATCCTGGAACTCTGTAGACCAGAGATCTGACTGCCTCCACCTCCTGAGTGCTGGGATTAAAGGTGTGCGCCACCAATGCCCGGCTCTAGATAAATCTTAAGAAAAAGAAAAGAAAGGCCGGGCGTTGGTGGCGCACGCCTTTAATCCCAGCACTCAGGAGGCAGAGGCAGGCGGATCTCTGTGAGTTCGAGGCCAGCCTGGTCTACAGAGTGAGTTCCAGGACAGCCTCCAAAGCCACAGAGAAACCCTGTCTCGAAAAACCAAAAAAAAAAAAAAAGAAAGAAAGAAAAAAGAAAAGAAAAAGAAAGGAAGGAAGGAGGGAAGGAAGGCTAGCTAATAACAAGCAAGCTAAGGCAGGGCATTTATAGGAGATAATAAGCCTCTGTGTGTGTGTGATTAATTTGGGAGCTGGGTGCTGGGACCCCCAACAGCCAAAAGAATAAAAAGAGTAGAAAAAGCAACCAACGACAAATCCAGTTTTTTCATTGTTATTATTTTATCTTTATTTTGTGTGCATGGGTGTTTTGCTTGTGTGTATATCTGCGCCATGCTGATGCACGGTACCCTTGGAGGCCAGCAGGGGGTGCTGGATCCCCTGGAACAGGAGGTTGTAAACTAACATGTGGGTGCTGTAGAACCTGGGTCCTCTGGAAGAGACGTCGATGCTTTTAACGGCTCAAACCCAGATTTTGTGGATCTTGTATTCACTGTCCATAACACTTACCCTGATTATGACACTTACCCTGTTACAACGATTAGCAAAACCCCAGACAATGTATCTGAGTGTTTGGTCAGTGTTGACTTCATTTTCTTGGATCTTGGGCTAGAAGGGGCAAGGCCATCTATGATTGGCTCTGAAGATCTTGGAAGGTCCTTGGGGGGTTGGGGCGAGACAGCTCTCACAATGATCTAGAACCCTCACTCACTCCAAGTTCTCATCTACTTTGACTCCTCTCCCTGTCCAGGGAGAGGAGGAAGGGCCTCACATAAGTCACTGGGGGGCACACCCCCTTTGGATTTCTTATTTCTTCCTTCGACACTTGGCTTGAAGCTCCTCAGTACCCACAAATCTCTCCAGTGGTGGCCACAGCCTTTTCCCTTCTACATCCCAAATGCTGGCTTCGGGCCATACTTTGGACTCGTGGTGTCTGGAGAGATGACCATGGTCAGGAGGTTGTTGAAATGGGTTAGGCAATTTTGGCAAAAGATGACCGGCTGGGTGAGTTCCACAAACACAGCATGGCCATGTGATTGGTGTTCTGGTCACGACATCTGGGCCTTAGTAACCCTCGCCACTTTGTCCCTGCTGCTCCATCTCTTGCGGCTAAACAAGACAGGGCAGGAAGTGTGAGGGCTTGAGGGGCCTGGGGAGGGGCTTTGGGGCACGATGGTGGGACAGTCATTCCTAGCTTCATTGTCTTTACCTCAGGGCCTGCTCTCTCCCCCTTGTCTGGTTTGGATTGTTGTCATCGTCATGGAGGGTGGGAGTTAGCAAGCAGCTTTTGGGAACTGGTTTTCTCCTTCCGTTGTAGGAGCCAAGGGCCCGTCCCAGGCAGTCAGGCCCACCTGGCAGGAGTTTTCACTCACTGAGCTATCTAGCCCGCCCTCTGTCTCATTTCTTAGGTCCTGTTCTGGAAATGTAAAGCCAAGCGAAGCGTGTCCGAGCAGCCCAAGAAACATCCGTTGAAGGGAGTGGAGAAGACTTCAATGGACTTTGACATTGTAAAGTTGGTCAAGCCCCACAAAGAGTCCAAGGTCTCTGACCTGGAGGTGTGCCCAGGGGAGCTTGAGCCCTGTGTGCTGGCCACGGCCAAGGAAAGGCCTGCTGTGCACCCTGAGAGTCACGAGAGTCATTCTCTGATACGGCTGTCCCAGACCGTAGTCCACTCAGTTTCCACGCTGATGTTCTCGGCGCTGCAGTCTGGCTGGCAATTGTGTAGGTGGAAGGTGAGGACCGTTCCTCTCTCCTCTGTTCCTCTCTCCGTTCCCTCCATCACTGTTTTTTTTTTTTTTTTTTTGAGACAGGGCCTTGTGTAGCCCAGGCTTGCCTTGAACTTGCTACATAGTTCAGGATAGCCAGAAATTCCTATTTAAATTTATTTCTGATCATCTTTTAAAATGTGATTTATGTGTATAAGGTGTATTCCTGCTTGACTGTATATGCACAGGAGTGCAGTTATCCAAAGGGACCGTACGAGACTATCAGCCTCTGGAACCTCGAGTTACAGGTGGCTGTGAGATGCCCCATGTGGGTGTCGGGACCTCTTTGTACCTGCTAAGCCATCTCTCCAGCCCCAAAGATTTTTATTTTGTTTATTTATTTTAGTGGGTTTTTTTTTTTGAGACAGGTTTTTACCATGTACCCTGACTGGCCTTGAACTTACAGAGATCCTCTTATCTCTGCCTCCCGAGTGCTGGGGTTAAAAGTGTGTACCACTAAGCCCTCATCTCCAAATTTCTTTCCTTTTCCTTTAAAAAAGCTCTTCTGCGTGTGAGTGTAGTCGCCCCTGTGCCATAGCACGCACGTGGAGGCTGGAGGACACCCTTGAGCGTCAGTCTTTTCCAGTTTATTATATTTTATGTGTGCGCACACGCCATGTGTATGCAGGCGCCCATGGCGGCCAGGAGAAGGAGTCAGAGCCCTTGTAAACTAGAGTTACAAGCAGTTGTGAGCCTTCCACTGTGGGTGCTGGGAACCCCAGTCCTCTGCAAGAGCAGGAGTCATGTTAGCCTCTAAGTCATCTCTCTGGGCGCTCCCCAGGGTGGGCCCCTTTTCACTGTCCTGCTCTGAGAGTTTCTGGAGATTCCCCTGTCCTCCCATTTCTCCCTGGAGTGCCAGGGTTACAGATGTGACACCTGCCGGGTTATAGATAACGCGTGCTGTGATCCCAGGTTTGGTTTTGTTTTTCCGGTCCCAGTTTTTAACACCGGTTTTGGGGATCTGACTTAGATCCTCATACTTGCACAGCAAACACCTGACCAATCGTGCCTGCTGTCTTCCCGGTGGAACTCCTACTCCTGCCTCCATCTTTCAGTGCTGGGAGTGCTGGCAGGCCCTGCCCAGGACGTCATGAATGCTCGGCAAGTGCTCTCTCTACCCGCGGAGCTGCATCTACAGCTCCCTCCATCCCCTTGTTCAGGCATTCGCGGTGCTTCGTCTATCGCGAAGCACTGAAACGAGGCTAGCGAGCAACGTTTACCCAGACCAGGGAGGCCACAGACAGGGCACCAGGTCGTGTTGGCTTTATACCCCGAGGGGAGTGATACTGCAGGTAGAGAGGACTTGGGCACCGAAGAAGGGGATCCTATGAAGAACTGGGCTTGCGGCATCAAGGACCGCTTCCATAGATGAAGAGGTGGGGAAACTGAGGCCTGAAGGAGTTTTCTAGGCTTGGTGAAAATTAAGGGGAAGTGGAAGGGGTGGGGGGCTGATCCAGAAGAGAGAATAGGGAGTGTGTGCTGGGGAGGGTGTGGGGTGAGGGGGACAGAGGGGGCTGCCTATGGTATGGGGGAGAATGCTTGAGTCAAGGACCTACTTCTTGTACGACTGTACGACACGGGATAGACGGCCTGGTTGAAGAATCTGAACTTGGCTCTGAGAACAAGACCCTTGAAGATATTTAAGTAGGGGTGACACAATCGTTCTCTATTTATTTTTATTTTTAATTTTTATTTATTTATTTATTATGTGTCCAGTGTTCTGCCTGCAGGCCAGATCTCACTATAGATGGTTGTGAGCCACCATGTGGTTGCTGGGAATTGAACTCAGGATGTCTGAAAGAGCAGCCAGTGCTATTAACCTCTGACCCATCTCTCCAAACCTCTATTTCTTTTTTACCTTTTTTTGAGATAAGGCCTCCCGCAGGCTGATCTCAAAGTTACTATGTGGTTTATTATAGCCTTGAATTCCTGATCCCCTGGGTATCACCCCGACCCAAGTCCGGGGTTACAGGTGTGCACCACCACACCCAGTTTACGTGGTACTGGGGACGAGACCTAGCGCTTCGTGTGCGTTACACAAGCACTCAACTGAGCCACTACTCTAGCTTCTCCATTCCATTCTTAAAATAAAATACAGACGCCGGGCATTAGTGGTATACATATTTATTCATTTGCTTGTTTTTCGAGACAGAGTTTCTCTGTAGCTTTGGAGCCTGTCCTGGAACTCACTCTGTAGATCAGGCTGGCCTCGAACTCACAGAGATCCGCCTGCCTCAGCCTCCCGAGGGCTATGACTAAAGGTGTGCGCCACCACTGCCTGGCTTTAATCTCAGCACTCAGGAAAAAGAGTCAGGTGGGTTTCTGTGAGTTCAAGGTCAACCTGGTCTACAAGGTGAGTTCCCGGACAGCCTGGGGTACACAGGGAAAGCCTGTCTTGAAAAACCATAAACAGATGAACAACTAAATAAATAAAACATAGAAATCCAGGACATGCAAGTGGCTTAGTGTGCCGGCGCCGTGTGGGGAAGGGTTACAAAAGGCCATTGGCTGTAGGTGAGCGGCAGTGTGTTTGTCTAGCATGTGTGAGGCCTCAGATTTAATCCCTGGTCCTGCCGGGGGGGGGTAAGGGAAAAGACAGTGTCCGGGAAGAAGTCCGTTGATTTGAGATTGCTAAAAAGATAACGTTAGTAATTCTTGTGATGATCTTGATTTCAGTTACTAGATACGCAATTCTGCATACGTGATAAAATGTCAAATAAGCATGTATAAACATAACACACGAAGGAATGCAAGAGCACTAGGGATGTCAGTGGGCTGGAGTGATGGTCAGCAGTTAAGAGCACTGCCTGCTCTAGATGACCTGGGTTTGATTCCTAGCAGGCACCAGGAAAATGCCCATACACATAAAATCAAACAAATGAATGGTTTTTGAGAAGTTTGCTTTTTCTTTTTAAGGAGTGCACACTGCTTTTGCACAGGATTCCAGTTTGGTTCCCAGCATCCACCTAGAGCTAGCTCACAACTACCAGTTACTCCAGGGGACCCACTGCCCTCTTCTGGCCTCTGTGGACACTGCACTCATATGTACATATGCAGCCCCTACCCCATGATAGTAACACAATTTTTAAGAAAAGATTTATTTACTTATTATGTATACAGGGTTCTGCCTGCATGTATCCCTGCACGCCAGAAGAGGGCACCAGATCTCGTTACAGATGGTTGTGAGTCATTCATTATGTGGTTGCTGGGAGTTGAATTCAGGACTCTGGAAGACCAGCTGGTGTTCTTAACCACTGAGCCATCGCTCCAGCCCCAATAACACAATTTTTGTTGTTTGTTTGGTTTGGTTTGTTCTAAACAGGGTCTTACTATGCAGCTCTGGCTGTTCTGGAACTCACTATGTAGACCAGAGATCCACCAAGTGTTTTTGAGATAGCATCTCTCACTGAATCTGGAGTTTGAGATTTTCCCTAGAGTGGACAGAGCGCCCCCTTGTGGTCCACCCATCTCCATCTCTCCAGCACTGGGTTACCGGGCATGCACTGCCATGTTCAACCTTTTACGTGGTGCAGATGTTTGCTTTGCAAATACTTTACTATTTCCTCTGCCCCTGTGTCTTGCAAATCTTTCCTACCGAAATAAAATAGGTAAAGGGTCCCGATTGTATATATAACTGCATTCTGATGTATCATTATCTAAAGTTTAATTTAGAAAGAAAACAACCAAGGTCAGGTGGCTCACACCTGTAATCCCACCATTTGGGAGGTGGAGGCCGGGGGACTGCTTCAAGTTCTGGGGCCAGCCTAGGCTTTATAGTGAGTTCCAGGCCAGCCTGGATTAACAATATGAGACTTTGTTTTAAAAAAGCAAACAAAACAGAAAGGGGGAAATGTGTGACGGAGGATGACAGGGAGAACATGAGTGAGAGGAGAGAGGAAGGAGAGAAGGAGGCTGGACTAATGGTGTGTGCCCAAAATCCTAGCGCTCACAGGCTGAGGCAGGAGCATTTTGAGTTCAAAGCCAGCTTGGGCTCCATGAGACTATCAAACGCCAATAGGACTGGATACGTGGCTCAGTGTTTAACCAGGTTTGCTCAGCACGAGACTCTGGGTTCCATGCCCAGCACCACATGGTGGCTGAGGTAGAGGCAGAAGGATTAGGAATTCAAGATCACCCTTGGCTAAAGTAGCAATTTCAAGTCTGAAATGGAATGCATGGGTTCCTCCTACCTCTAAATAAAAAGAAGGGATGAGGGGAAGGAAGGGAGGGAGAGAGGCAGGGAGGGGGGAAGGGGGCGGGAGGGAGGAAAGAAAGTAAATTTAGAAAGTGTGGAGCATAAGGGCAGAAAGGACCATCCCCAAATGCAAGCTGGGGGAACTTCCTGGAGGAGGCGGTGCTTGGACTAGTTGATGGAGGAGGTAAGACAAGTTGACCTCTTGTTTATTTGCCCGTCCTTCTTACCCGCCCTTGACGTCCCCACATCTCTTTCTTTTACAGTCTTCTATAAGTTCTGCCTCAGTTTCCTCTCGAATGAGGACCCGGTCGGCCTTGGAGACGCCAGAGGCTGAGATGCTGCGGGAAGTGTACCTGGTACTCTGGGTAATCCGCAAACAGCTGAGGGAGCTGGCCCGCAGGCAGGAGAGGCGCAGGCGGCGGCGCATGCGGTCCCACGCTTCCCACACATCCCGCCACTCCGATCCAGTGCAGGGCCTCAAACAGGATGCCCGAAGTCCCCTCTAGGCAGAGGAGCCCCGGATCCTTAGGAAGCCTCCACTCACTCTCAAGAAAGGTGGGCAGGAAGGGTTCAAGGGCCGTCAGGCCAGAGTTGCTGGTGAGGAGACGTTTGACCATCCTGTCACCTCTCATTGGAAGCCCAAGACCAGGCCTGGGGTCGAACATACTCCCCTTCTCTGTGTTTATTCAGTTTGTAAAAAAAAATTATCTAAATATTGAGAAATAAATATCGCCTGTTTCTGAGTAGATGGAGTTTGTGCTCATGAATGAGAGAGGCAGTGAGGGGGTTGGGGAGGGGCAGAGAGGAACACTCAGTGCATAGAGGAGTTCCTACATCTTTTCTTTTCTACACAGGGCTTCTCTGTAGCTTTGGGGCTTATCCTGGAACTTGCTTGGTAGACCAGGCTGGCCTCGAACTCACAGAGATCTCTCTGCCTCTGCCTCCTGAGTGCTGCCGCCGCCACCGCCACCACCACAACCAAACTGATCTCTTTTTGCATATGTCAGACAGGTCCTGTTTCTTATATCCCCACAGCCCTCCTAGGAGCTGAATTGTCTTTAACTGCTCTGCCTGGCCAGTAACCATAGCAACAGCGTCCATTCGTGGAGTACCAGCTATGCTCACTGGGCAGCAGCCCTGGCTTTTCTCCCTAGCAATTCCAACAAAGTAGGGTGGTCTAGGGACTTCTCCAAGGCCCCCCAGCTAAGGATGTGCACATGTGTGTGTACGTGTATGCGTGTATGTATGTGTATGTCCGTGTATGTTCATGTATGTGTGAGGGGTGTGCACGTGTGTGCACGTGCACATGTATGTATGCATATGTGTGGGGGTGTTCAGTCCCTGGAGCAGTGTGGTGCTGGGAGTCGAACCCCAGTCCTCTGCAAGGGCAGCAAGTGCTTCAGCTGTTGGTCAGTCTCTCCAGCTTTCCTTGGGTATGTGCATGTGACTGGGTGACAACTCTGAGGGCTTGGTTCTCTCCCCTCCATAGACACAGGGGTCAGATTCAGGTCAGGGTTAGTGGCAAGCACTTTTACCTAGTGGGCCAGCGTGTAGCTCAGGCTGGACTCAAACTCAATGTGTAACGTGAAGATGACCTTCAACTACCTGGTCTTTGTGCCTGAGAAGAGATTGCTGTCTTGTGGGCTGTGGTTAACAGGAGTGTGACATCATAGGGCTTGGAAGTGATGATTCTGAGGAGTATGCACGTGTGTGTAGGTACTCCTCCAAGGCCCCCCAGCTAAGGATGTGTGTGTGTGTGTGTGTGTGTGTGTGTGTGTGTGTGTATGCATGAGGGGGTGTGTGCACCTGTGTGTATGTTCATGTATGTCTGGGCTGCTGCAGGAGATTCATTTGCTGGGAAGAATTTTGGTCCCGGGGCTGTGTGGAAGCCTCAAGGGCTCTGAGCGAGGTTGGGGAGGAGTCGGGGTCAGGGTGGGCTGTGACTCATTAGCTGAGGTGGGGGACAGGCCTGTGGAGGGCATGCATAGTAATTGGGATGGAGGGGGCGGAGGGATAAAAGATGGCGTCCTGGGGTCACACTTCTGCCCTGCCCCCTCTCTGTTTGCCCGCTCATATGCAGATGGAAACATTAGGGGATTTGAGAGTTCAAAGGGCTTGGGGTCAGCAGCAGGGCTCGGAGCTAGAGAGCAGCACGGTGCTTGGGCAAAAGAGAAGGAGAGAAGGGGAGCGCTGGCTGCGGCGCTGGACGCTGACGCAATGAATCATAGACTGTGACTGCGGCTCAGCTGCGCACAAAGCCGCAGGTTCAATCCCCAGCACCGTGCAAACCGGGCAGGGCAGTGCTGTCATCCCAGCACTAGGGAGGGAGAGGTGGGAAGATCAGAGGGTCAAGGTCAGCCTCAGCCACCTGCGTGAGGACCTGCGTTTGAATCCCCAGCACCTGTGTAAAATGCCAGGCACACCAGCACATACCAGCCAGCCAGTCTAGCAGAATGGGTTAGCTTCAGTCACCGGGAGACCCTGTTTCCAAAACTAAGGTGGAGGCCCAGGAGATTGCTCAGCAGGCAAAGGCACCTGCCATCGAGTCTGTCAACTGGAGTATAATTCCTGGGGCCCCCGTGGTGGAAGAAAGATGACTCCCGCAATACAAGCTGTCCTCTGATTTCCGTATACTCAAGGTTCGTGCATGCTAACACACACACACACACACACACACACGCACACGCACACGCACACGCACACTCATAGCACACGTTACTTGTGAGTTGAATGCTGGGCCCTGCCCAGCAAGGGAGCAGTAAAGAGCGGTGGGCAGGGAGAGTTTGATAGAATCAACTCACTAGAAAACTCAGGCTCTACCCCAGTGGCTCTCACCCTCTGGGGCTCAGCTCCTTTGGAGGGTGTTGTCGAACGACCCTTCCACAGGGGTTGTGCATCACATCTCCTGCACAATTCATAACAGTGCCACAATGGCAGTTATGAAGTAGCAACAGAAATAACGTCATGGTTGGGGGGTCACCGCAGTGTTAGGAAGGCTGAGACATGCCACTGCTCTACCGAGACAGGCAGTGAGCATTTGTGGTGCCCGGTGCTTGGTGCATGCTAGGCTAGTGTCTACCCCTCAGCCACACTCCCAAGCTCTCTAGGCCCCCCACCCCGCCGTGTATGTGTACATGTGTCCGTGTGATGTTCAGGAACGTGTGCGTGTGTGTGTGCGTGTAGAGGCAGTACTCAGTCTCTGCTATCATTCTCGGACACTCCCCACCTTGGTTTTTTAAGACGGCGGTTTCCTCCGGGGACTCGCCAATGTTGATAGGCTGTTGGCCTTCAAGGGGTCCACCTGTCTTGGCTTCCCCAGCACTAGGATTACAAACATAGGCCACCTCAACCAGCCTTTTACGTGGGTGCTGGGGATTGAACTTAGGTCCTCATGATTGTACATCAAAGCCCTTTACCCCCTGGCTGGTCTGTCTCCCCAGCCACCCCCCAGACACACACACACACACACACACACACTTCTTTAAAAATGTTACGCCACGTATAAAGGTGTTTTGTCTGCTTTTGTGTGTGCACTGTGTGCGTGCCCGGTACCCAGCTCAGAGGTGTGAGCTCCGCAGGAGTGCTGCGAACCACACCCAGGTCCTTCAGAAGAATAGCCCGTGCCTTTGGCTATTGAGACATCTGTCCAGACCCAGACCTTTTAAAAGACATAGTCTCACTACTGGCTAGCCCAGAACTCTTGATCCTTTTGCCTCAGCCTTTTTGTTGCTGCTGCTGTTTGAGACAGGGTTTCTCCATGAAACAGTCCTGGCTGTCCTGGAACTCACTCTGTAGACCAGGCTGACCTTGAACTCACAGAGATCCGCCTACTTCTGCCTCCCAAGTGCTGGGATTAAAGGCGTGCGCCACCAATTTCTAGTGGTGGGATCACAGCGATTATATACCTGGTTCTCCTGTTACATTTTATTTTCAGACAGGGTCTCAGCAAACTGCTCAGGCTGGCTGGAACTTACTCAATTATAACTGGACAGTTCTCTCTTGCCTGGCAGTTGCTGAACAACCAATCAGAGTCTTAATATTAATTACAAACTGTTCGGTCTGTTGGCTCAGGCTTACAACTACACTAACCCATTTCTCTGTGTATCGCCACGTGGCTCATGGCTTCTTACCTCACATTTTGCTTTCCCGGGGCCCCTGGTGTCTCTCTGATCTCATCCTTCTCCTTGTATCTCTGGATTTCCTGCCTGGCTCTATTCTGCCTGGCTATTGGCCAAACCAATGGTAACAAAAGATATTCACAGCATACAGAAAGACATCCCACACCAGTCAGTAGCCCAGGCTGGCCTCGAACTCACTGCGGAAACAAGGATTACCTTGAACTCCTTCCTGACCCTGTAAGAGTCCAGATGCCTGTTATTTTTGTTTGTATGCTGTTGTTTAATGCAGTGCTGGAGACCAAATCCAGGACAAGCGCCAACCCTCAGTCCCCAAACCCTCCCCTCCTGAGGTCCCCAGTGAAGACCACGATTCCTAAGGCATTGTGGCCTGACCCCGAATCTCACCTGGAGTACGACTCCAAACTCGGTCCTTTACAAGCCACAGCACCCGTGATTCCAGCTGTTCCAGAGGCTGAGGCAAGAAACCAGAAAGAGGGAGAAAGGGAGAGAGACATACACAGAGGGTCCAGTAGGGCCAAACAGGCAGGCCCAGTCAGTCACCCGTAAATAACCTTGCAGGTAACTACAGGCCTAAGGACTGGGTTTGGGCCAGAGGCTGTGGGCTAATGGAAAGCAATACATCCCAGCATCAAGAGTGGGAGGCAGATGAGGGATGGTGCGTTCAGCCAGCAGCCTTGGGAGCCTCTGCACATTTCACCTGGCCCCTTCCCGAGTCCTGTCTGAGCTTGGCCGGGCGGGGCAGGGAGGCATGTGAGAGCCATGGAGGCGGGAATGGATGAGTTCAGCGTGCAGAACCGGCTTTTTCTCAGTCCGCCTAGTTGGTCTCCTTTCTGATCCCTGCTGAGAGACTCCAGCTCAGAGCCCTGCAGACAGAAGAGAGCTTTCAGAGGAGGCCAGCAGGAGGGAAAGCACACTGGGTCTCCTAACCACAGAGATAAAAGAGATAAAAGAACGCTACCTTTCTGTCCCTCCTAGCCTCTCCCCCTCTTCTTCTTCTTCTTCTTCTTCTTCTTCTTCTTCTTCTTCTTCTTCTTCTTCTTCTTCTTCTTCTTCTTCTTCTTCTTCTTCTTCTTCTTCTTCTTCTTCCTCTTCTTCCTCTTCTTCCTCCTCCTCCTCCTCTTCTTCTTCTTTTGATTTTTACGAGACAGGGCTTCTCTGTATTGTTTTGGAGGCTGTCGGTCCAGTCTGGCCTCGAACTCACAGAGATCCCCTGCCTCTGCCTCCCGAGTGCTGGGATTAAAGGCGTGCGCCACCACCGCCCAGCCTGCCTTCTTAAAAATTAAAATTTGCCTGGTCTACAAGAGCTAGATCAGGACAGCCTCCAAAGCCATGGAGAAACCCTGTCTCAAAAAACAAACAAATTAACTACAATTTTATGTGTGTATTTTTGAGATCAGGTCTCTTGTAGATCAGGCTGGCCTTGAACTCCCTATCCTCCTGCCTCTGCCTCCCAAGTGCAGGGATTACAGGCATGTGTCACCATGCTTGCTTTTTGAAAGTGGTGCTGGGGACGGAATTCTCCACTTCACCCCTTTTCAGACACAGTCTCCCCATGTGTCCCAGGCTGGATTTAAACTCACAATTGTCGTGGAATGTTATTTTAAGGTGTGTTACATTTGTTGATGCTGTGGAGCATTTGTTTAATGATGCAAAGACGCATGGCATTCTTTTGTGTTGCGTCTGTTTAACTCTGTGAAGCTGTGTCACTGTGTCTGTCTAAAACACCAGATGGTCTGGTAGCAAGCTGAACGGCCAATAGCAAGGCAGGCAGGAGGGTGGGTGGGGCTGGCAGAGAAAAATAGGAGAAATAAATAGAAGGAAAAAAGAGATGGAGGAGTGAGAAAGAAGGGGCCAGCCGTCCAGCTACACAGCAAGGACGTTTTGCAGGTCGAGGCCGGAGTGTCAGGAAGGAGCTGAAGGCCATACTAGAAAGTTTAAGAGTGGCTCTACAGGAGACACCTGTCTAAGAGGAAAAACCAAAGACCCAGGAAGTGGTTAAAAGCAATGCTTCCTGGATGTGTGGTGAATTAGTTAACGGCTCTGACTCAGTTTTCTCATGTGTAAAATGGGGACAGGAGTTATAATCTGTATCACGAGGTTGCCCGAAGGACCAGAGGACACACATTGTAACGACATGTTAGCTGCTATTAAGAGGATCATGGTGGAAAGCTGAGGATGAGGGCCAGTTGGTCAAAAGCTCGGCTAGCATGCCTGAGGTCCTGGGTCCATCCTCAGTACCACAGAAACCCAGTCATGATGGCACGCACTTGGAATCCCGGCAGTTCTGAGGTAGACACAGAAGCAGGAGGAGTTCAAAGTCACTGTTGACTACACAGTGAGTTCAAGGCCGGCCTGGACCACAGACCTTGTCTCAAAAGGGGGAAAAAGGATTTGTGGTTATGATTTATTGAAGATGACAATTCTCTTCAAGGCCTAAAATAAAGCTAAATAAGCCAGAAGTAGGGAAAGCGAGTCTTCATTGAGTGTATGAGTCGCATGCTCTAACAACTCTCTGAAGGAGGTTAGGGGAAGAAGGGGCTGGAGAGATGGCTCAGTGGTTAAGAGGACCCAGGTTCAGTTCCCAGCACCCACATCAGCCAGCTCACAACTGCCTGCAACTCCTGACCCTGAAGGCCACTGGCAGGCGTGTGGTGTGTAAGCATGCAGGCAGGCACAGGCACGTAGGCATACCCATAAAATGAAACAGAAAAATAATCCTTTCAAAAATGATCCAGCCGGGCGGTGGTGGTGCACGCCTTTAATCCCAGCACTCGGGAGGCAGAGGCAGGTGGATCTCTGTGAGTTCGAGGCCAGGCTGGACCGACAGCCTCGAAAACAATACAGAGAAACCCTGTCTCGAAAAACCAAAGGGAAAAAAATGATCCAAGAGGGCTGGAGAGATGGCTCTGTGGTTAAGAGCTCTGCTTGCTTTTCCAAAGGTCATGAGTTCAATTCCCAGTAACCATCTGTAAAGAGATCTGGTGCCCTCTTCTGGCATGCAGGCAAAAAACAATAATAAAAAAATAAATCTTAAAAAAAATGAGCCAAGCCGGGCAGTGGTGACACACACCTTTAATCCCAGCAACGGGGAGGCAGAGGCAGGTGGATCTCTGTGAGTTCAAGGCCAGCCTGGTCTACAGAGCGGAGTTCTGGGACAGCCAGGGCTGCACAGAAAAAGCCTGTCCTGAAAAACAAGACCAAACAAAGCAGCGTGAAGCTGCGTCTGTCGGTAGCGCACCTGCCTCGCACGCACAAGCCCGAGGTTCTGTCTCCAGAATGACACAACTGGGCTTGGTGGAACAAGCCTGTATCCCCAGAACTGGGGGGGGGGGGGGGGGTAGAAACGGAGGATCAGAAGTTCAAGGCTGGGCCGGGGGGAGGTGGCTCAGTTGGTAAGAGTGGTCGCCTAGCCATGCACAAAACCCTGGCGTCCGTCGCCAGTGCTGCGTTGACCTGGGCTTTGTGGTGTACCAAACGTTGACCTGGGCTTCGTGTACTAAACGTTGCCGTTGCCCAGTGAGTCGCCACCTCAGTCCTTGTCTGTTTCCTTCCCTCCCTTCCTCAGACAAGGTCTCAAGCATCCAGGTTGGCCTCGAACCTTCTATGTAGCAGGGGTACTGTCAACCACTAATTTTACTGCCTCTACCTCTAGCATGCACTACCACACCTGGTTTTGTAAAGTGCTGGGAATGGAACCCAGAGACTCAGGCATTCTAGGCAAATACTCTGCCAACTGAGTGACATCCCGGGGCCACTCCCACCTCGGACAGGCTCTTTCAGCCCAGGCTAGCCCTGAATTTGCGATCTTCCTGTCCCAGCCTCTATGACTAGGGTTGCATGAATGCTACACCCTGCCTCCCCACTGGGTCCCTCTCTGAATGGCCCACCTCATTCACACACTTCCACACCTGTGTGTTCAGGTGCAGTGCCACAGGCCTGTGTGTGCGCCTGTGTTCACCTGTGTGTGTGTCTGTGTTCATCTGTGTGTGCACCTCTGTGTTCACCTGTGTGTGCACCTGTGTGTGTGTCTGTGTTCATCTGTGTGTCCAGGTGCAGTGCCGCAGGCCTGCGTGCAGTGTAGAATGCACCTCAGTGTTTTGGGCAGACTGGCTGCCAGTGAGCCCCTGGGGTTCACCTGTTTTCACCTCCAGCACTGGGGTTACGGACACTGCACCTGGCTTTTCCATAGATGCTGGGAATTCAAACTCAAGAGTATTTTTTTTTTCTAGACAGGGTTTCCCTGTGTAGCCCTGGCTGTCCTAGAACTCACTCTGTATGCCGAGGCTGGGATTAAAGGTGTGCGCCACCACTGCCCAGCTCCTAACTCAGATTCTAGTGCTCATGAAGCAAGCATTTTACCCATGAGCCACCTGTCACGTACTCTCCACCTCCATCACTCCTGCCACATCCTGTGTCCCACCCTCTCAATTATGGCATTCCCGTTTCTTCTAGGGAGCAGCAGCAGGGCCCATGAAGGTCTACACGGAAGGTCCTCGAGAAACCCTTTAACACGAATTCTCTGAGTAGTTCTGCATTTGCTTCCTGACCCTGCCTCCCAAGAGATGCAGCCCTCAGCAAGAGTGTTCAACTTCTTATGACCAATTCATCCTCGATGCAGATACAGAAGCTCGGTTGCTTTCCCGAACCAGGCAATACTGTAACTGCAGCTCCGTCTCCACCTCATACGAGAGTAAAATGTAGCCGGGTGTTAGTGTTGCGCACCTTTAATCCCAGCACTCGGGAGGCAGAGGCAGGCGGATCTCTGTGAGTTCAAAGCCAGCCTGGTCTACAGAGCGAGTTCCAGGACAGCAAGAGATACACAGTGAGACCCTGTCTTAAACAAACAAACAAACAAACAAACAAACAAACGGATAAAGAAGTAATACAGAAGAGTTTCTACTCTATTTTCCCCTCTACCCTTAGCTCTTTGTTAGCCCAGGCTGGCCTCAAACTCCATATGTAGCTGAGGAGGGTGACTTTGAATTCCCGATCCTCCTGTGCTGCCTCCCAAATACTGGTATTACAGGTTTGTATCACCACACCCCGCTCTGTTTCTGAAAAGTGCAGAAGAAACGACACATTGTCTGCTTTTGCAGATTTGTTGCACTGTGTCAATAGTTGGTTCGCCACTATTGCTCAGCACTATTTTATGATATTTATGGACACTTTAACCCTTTATCTGCTGAAGGACATTACCAGTTTGGGGCTATGAGTAAAGGCGAGGTGAACATGTCTGTACCAGTTTTCAGTTGCCCAAGGATATAGAATCAGGGGTCACAATTTTGGTCTCTCTCATAGCCCAGGGTGTCCACCAAGTCCCTTTGTAGCCAAGGCTGGCCCTTAATCCTCCCGATCCTTTTCTGCTTCCGTTTCCCAGGCTGTCATCGCTTTTACGGTCTTTAGTGAGCGGGAGGATTCGGGTGTGGATTTCGCTAGTGTTTGAGTGCGGAGGTCAGAGGACAGTTTGTGGGAGTCCGTTCTCTCGTGGCACCCAGGAATTGAGCGCCGATCGTCAGGCTAGGTGGCAAGCGCCTTTAACCCGGGAGCCGTCTTTCCGGCCCCCAGGACGCGGACTTAAAGTTAAGGTACTATTTCCTATACTCCTGGGGCATTTCCTACTCAAACACAGGAATTCAGGGACTTTGCAGCGAGCCCGCTCCCGCGTACAGGGAAACCCTCAGAAACGCTGTGGAGGCACCGCGCAGGATGTCTAGATACGAGAGCGGGGACCGTTTCGCGTCCGTAGCCCAGATCTCACGCGATTCTGACGGGTCAGGACGCCGCATCCGCGTTCCTGAAGGCACGAGCAGCCTCGCTGGGGATCCGTAGGGCATCTACGTACCGGCGCGCTGACGCCCCGCCCTAGGGGCGGAGTTCGTGCTTGAGGGCGGAAGTGCGCCCGGAAGCTGGAGGGCGGGGCGATGGGAACGACCTCCAGGAGCGCCAATGGGGCGGCGCGGCGGGCTTGTTGTCTTACGCGGGTGGTGAGGGAGGGCTAACGGTTTCCGGTAGTGGCAGCCCCCGGTCGGCGAGATGATGGGCTACGCGGCGTCCGAGACGACGACCGGCTACGCGGCGTCCGAGACGACGACCGGCTACGCGGCGTCCGAGACGACGACCGGCTACGCGGCGTCCGAGTTGGGGTTGGGGTCCGTGGCGGGCGAGGAGGCCGAGGAGGTGCCCGGGCCGGCCCCGGAGCCGCGAGCCCCGGAGCCCGAGCCGGGCCTGGACTTGAGCCTGAGCCCGAGCCCGGTGCCCGCGAGCCCGGAGCGGCGGGGCGGCAGCCCGGGGCGGCGGCGGCGCGGCCGCCGGCGGGGGCGCCAGGTGAGCGGCGGCGAGGCCCGGGCGAGGCCCGCCGAGCGTCCCGGGCTCCGCCGCTCACCGCCCCGCCCTTGCCTCGCAGGTTCGTTTCCGCCTGGCGCCGGCCTCCCCGGTCCGCTGCGAGCGGCTGCTGGCGGCCGCCGTGCCGAGCGCCGCCGCCGCGTTGCCCCGGGAGCTGGAGGCGCCGGCCCCGCGGAGCAGCCTGGCGCTGAGTCTGGAGCTGCAGAGCGCGCGCGCCGCCGTCGCGGGCGGCCAGTTTGATGCTTCGAAGGCGGTGGAGGAGCAGCTGAGGAAGTCGTTCCAGACCCGCTGCGTCCTGGAGGAGGCCGTGGCGGAGGGTGAGGGGGCGGGCGGCCGCCCCGGCGCGGGGGTCGGGGACAGGGCGCAGCTCACGCCCGCCTCTCGTGCGCCCGCCCGCCCGCAGGCTTGAACGTGCCGCGCTCCAAGCGGCTCTACCGGGACCTGGTGAGTGTGCAGGTGCCGGAGCAGCAGGTTCTGGACGCGGCGCTGAGGGAGAAGCTGGCGATGCTGCCGCCGCCGCCGCCGCCCCGAGCCCCGCCCCCGAAGGTGAAGCCAGGGCCGGGGGCCGGGGCTCTTCCTGCATCCGGAGGGCAGCCTCTCAGTGGCCTCGCCTTCCCACAGGAGGTGCTCGGGCAGGGGCCAGACGTGACCGTGCTGTGCAACCCAGACTCTCTGTGCCACGAATCTCCGCACCTGGCAGTGGACGGGCTGCCCCCGCTACGGCTCCAAGCCCGGCCCCGCCCCTCAGAAGACACCTTTCTCATGCATCGGATGCTGAGGCGCTGGGAAGCGTAGCTTTCGCAACTCTCCCGATCAGAAGCTGCCTGTAGGGGGAAAGTGTCTGGGCCGCTCAGAGATGACAAGTGGGAAGCACTAAGCGGGGTCAGACTCAGCCTTACATCATGGCGCCCATGTCCCAGGACTTGGGAGGCCGAGGCGGAAGGAGCCTGTGGTCAAGGAGTCTGAGCTACACAAAGGATTTCTTTTAATGTGGCTTCAGGCTGGGCAGGTGCAGCTCAGTGGTGCAAAGCCCAGACTAAGTCCCCAGAGCGCATGTGCAAGTGCATACAGACCATAGTCAAAGTGCTTCAGACTTCCACTTGCTGTGGTGATGAACACTTGTGAGGTAGAGACTAGAGGGTCAGGAGTTCAGGCCAAACGAAGTTAGGGGATACCGTCTCAGAAACCACAACAACAGAAAAACACCCCAACTCTGCCCTATTTATAATAAAAATTTAATGTATCTGTATAGCTCTGGTTGTCTTGGAACTCGTGTATTCCAGTCTGGCCTTGAACTCAGGTTTGCCTGCCTCTGCTTGTGAAGTGCTTAGGACATTCACCACTAAACCTGGCTGTCCCAATGTAATTACCCAAAGATGGGGCTCTAACATTAAATAACTTTGAAAGGAGACAGACAGCCTGTTTGATTCAAGTGTTGCCCATTGTGTCTGTGGCTAACGGAAGAGTGCTAATGTTTATTCAGGGTTCTAGCAACCACTGACAAGCCACCCCAGCGTTTTATTTCCCCACGGGTCCTAGAGCAGGCTGTGGCTCTGGGTTATTACCCATTCCTAGCCCCATCACCCCACTGCCAAGCCCTCCAAGTTAGCCTTCCATCTCATGCTCCCTTACACACAGGTGGACTCATTAAGCTACAAGCCAAAATTTGAATTACCCCTCCCCCTTTCCAGAGCAGTGTGTAAGGCTATGTCTAGTTTTATGTCAGTTCAACACAGGAGTCATCAGGAGGGAGCCTCAACTAAGACAATGCCTCTGTAAGACCAGGCTATAGACAAGTCTGTAGGGCATTGCTTTGGAGAGGGAGGGTTCAAGACAGATTTCATTGTGGGACTGTCCTGGAACTTGCGCTGTAGATCAGGCTGGCCTCAAACTCACAGAGATCCACCTGTCTTTGACTCCCAAGTGCTGGGATTAAAGGCGTGCGCCACCACTATCTGGTCTGTAGGACATCTTAGTGGTTGTGGGTGGGGCAGTCGCTGGACTGGTAGCTGGGTCTCTGAGAGGCTAAGGAAGCCATGAGGAACAAGTCCGTAAGCAGCCCCTCCATGGCTACTGCAGGCATCAGCTCCTGCTCTGACTTCCTTGATGAGTGAGATGTGGAAACATAGCCTGAATAAACTCTTTCCTCCCTAGGGTTCTTTGATAACCCAACTAAAACCGATACCAAGTTTTCCAGCCCCATGAGATTCTGTCTCACTATGGAACCCACCCAGGCTGGCCTTAACCCTCAAGGGATCAATCAGCCTGCAAATCTCCCAAGGGTTGGGATAAAGAGCCAGGGCACCACAACCAGCAAGCAAAACCCACCCTCAGGAGACTAGGATGGGCAAAGAAACCACACAAGCCCACAAGGAGGTACCATTCATCCTACTAAAACATGCCAGACACAGGTGCAGGGGCCACGGCCCTAGTTATCAAGTTTATTGTGCTGTTCTCACATTCCAAACCCAGCTCCCTCTCCCACCTGGGGACAGCAGAAGGAAGGATTTTCACAGTACCTGTGTCTCCTTACTAAACTTCCCCTCTAACACCCTTAGTCCATCCATGGTCCACTTAAGTGCAGCTAGGAACAAAGGCTGAGAAGCGGGAATCTCCTTCGGAGAACAGGAGGAAGGGCCTAGAGAATTTGACATTCCCCCTTCCCATACCCTAGGAGGACAGAGTCAGCAAACAGTCCATGCCATCCAGCCCAGCAGGCTGGGAGAGGAAGCTGATGTAATTCCAGCACAGCTGGGCTTACTCAAGTGCCAGAGGTGTCAGGGAGAAGACTTGGGGAAGCAACTTAAGAAAAAGCTCTCTTTACAGATCCAAGAAAGGAAACTTTTTGGAATTAGGCAGGAAAGACCTTGGGATAGTCTCCTCTTCCCCTAAGGTCCTCAGGAGCAGCAAGGGTGGCCTCTCTCTTCACACTTCTGTCCAGAGGCCACTCAGTGGCTGGGGGAACGAGCCTTGTGAAACAAGTACACAGGACGCTGGAAGCCTAAGGAACACACAAGGCAGGTGGGTAGGATCTTGAGATTCTCCACAGGGCCACCCCCTCCCCTCCCAGTGACAAAGTGGAACCATTCTTACCTCTGGAGGTGTTACTTGGTGTGGCCACAAGCTCATAGCTGGAGAAGCCCACCTCTGGGGATGTCAGGTAGGAACTGAACTGTTCTGGCTTCAGCTTGATTCGAAAGTAGTTCTTATAGATTGTTTCCTGGGGAAACAAAAGAGGGGTCACTTCAGCTTGTCATCTCTTTCCCTGGCCAAGCACGACAACCTTTTGTCTTTGTTCACAAAGTCTGAGCTGGGTATGGTGGTTAGAAGGCTGAATTAGGAGGTGGAGAGAGTTCAAGACCAGCCTGCAGCACTACAGAGCCAGCGCAGGCCAGCATTTTAGCCAGTCTCAAAATAAAATAGGGGAGACCAGGTGGTTGGTGGCACAGGTTTTTGATCCCAGAACTTGGGAGGCAGAGGCAGGCAGATCTCCAAGTTTGAAGTCAGCCTGGTCTATAGAGCAAATTCCAGGACAGCCAAGGCTACACAGAGAAACCCTCTCTAGAAACAAACCCCTCACTCCCCCCAAATGGGCTGGGGCTATAGCTCATTTTCCCTGCCATGTGTGAGGTCTGGGGTTTAATCCCCAGTAAAATAAAAAGATGATTACCCCTTATCTCGACAGAAACCCAACTCACCGTGAGAGACTTTCTCCTGCAGTAGGAGGACCACGGTTGGGGCTCCAGGACCAGAATACCGCCAGGGCGGAGGTGCTGGTAGATCCGGCGGAACATGCGCTTCAGCCCCTCGTCACCCCAGTTCAGGTGCACCCACTTGGTGAGGCTGAGGCAGAGCACCACATCATACTCAGGTCTTTGAGCATCCACCAGCTCGTCTCGGTCCAGGACATAGTTACCCTGAGGGCCCGAAGACGGGAAGAGGTCACAAAGAGGGAGCAGAGACCCCACTGGCCCCACAAGCACCTGCAGACAACCTCACTCCGGCCCTTGGTGGCCGCCTTCTGAGGCTCCTCCCGACAGCGCCTTGTCGGTCTCCTGGTCTCTTCTCCCTTTCCTGCCTCTGCTTCCTCCTGGTGCTAAACCAACCAAACCTAAAAGGGAGCCTGGGCAGATTTAAATTGAACTAATTATCTGAGGGAGAACTGGAGAATACTGGAATGCTCCCAACACCGCAGCCCAGGTGACCTCATATACACAGGCAGTGGTAGTGAAGACTGAGGCTCGCGCCTTACAGGCTCTTCCTGTTAGGGCCTGCTAATGTTTTGTTTTAGGTCTATTCCTTCTCCAATGAAAAACCTAGGAAGCCTTCTCTGGAGGTAAACGCACCACCACTCCCTGGGAAGACATGTTTTCAGGATAAGCCACGGGCATACACTTCTGTGGATGGCCTGTCAGGCCGGCTACGCTCTCCTCCCTTCACTGGCCCTCTCCTGCTATTCAGAGTCAGCACGGAAAAGACGGAAAGCCAAGCCTACTGGGTTCCTGACCAGTAACTTCAACAGTCTGTGCTGTATCTAGGGAAACAAAAAGCAGCTGATGCAACAAGGTCCCTATCAAAGGTCCCAAACTACACATATTGGAGTGCCACAGTCTTCCTCCAGCAAAGACACCCAATCTGAAGCTCCCTCAGGAGATTTGAGGACAGGGTTCCATCTGGACAGAGCAGCAGAGTTACCCTCAAGGGAAGGTGGATTGTCTGGGTTACAGTCCCCACTGGAAGCAGGATAAGACAGCCCCCATATCAGGGATGAGAACCTTGTAGTCGTGAGAAAAGACCAGATGTGAGAGCCTGCAGGTAGAGATCCCACTTTCCAGGTTATAGGAGGAGAGACAACACCCAGTAGAGGTTCTCTGGCCAATGCAGACTGTTCTCTCCAGGAGATGGTTCTTGTAGGGAGGAACAGATGTAGGGATTTACCTCTAGGTCACCTTCCCCCCAACATATTCCTATTTAATCTCATCTTCACACTTGAACCCTATTCCAAGAGCCTTTGGACTCTCTTACCGTGACGAAGACGACATTGTTGGGGAAGACAGATGTGTCTGCTCCATCCAAGGGCACTTGGGGTGCAGCGATGGGACCCCGGCTGGCTGTCAGTGAGGCAGGGAAGCAGCTCCTTTTTCGGACAGTGGTAGCAGTCCCTTCCTCCCCCTCTGTCCCTGGGCCACCCTCAGAAGTCTGGGCTTGGAGACGAAGCTCCTCAGACAGGTAGTGTCGGATATTTTGGCGGGCAGAGTGGATAAGTCGTGGATCAATGTCCAGCCCCACCATGCGGGCTGGGCCCCACTTGCAGGCAATACTCAGGGTCAGATGGCCAACATTGCAGCCAAGATCCAGGACGTCTCGGCCTTGAAACCACTCGGGCTTCAACACCCTGAGGCGCACGTCCTCGCAGGAAGGGTTGCGATAGCCATAGTACTTGCAGTAGTTTCCATACTGGAACTTCTGCTGTTGCTTTTTGAAGCCGCTTGGAGGCAGTGGGTGGTGATGGCGGCCTCCCCCACTCCCTCTGCCCTTTTCCTTGGAACCCTGGCTTCCACCCCTAGCCCCTGCCTCCGATTTGCTGGAAGTCCTGCGACGTTTGCGATGTCGGGAGGAGGAGGAGGAGGATGCGGGTGCAGAGGTAACTGAGGCAGCTGGAGGGGCAGAGAGGGAGCCTGAGGAACCTTGCAGGGCAGACGGAAGGGGAGACACAACTTCATCCCTGCAGTTGATGGCTGTGTTGAGTTCATAGGGCTGAGGGGCATCGCGGTGCTGTTGCTGCGTGGCACCCTCCCCGTGGAGTGAAGGGGTGAGAGGGTCAGTGGGCAGCGCGGCGTGGCTATCATTCCCTCCAGAAGCCTGCTGCTGCTGGTGGTGAGGTCCCCGGTGTCTGTGGCGCTTGCGACCAATCTTGAGCGGAGAGGCAAGAACCACATGGGCCTCATCAGTGCAAGTGTTGAGGCTGAGCGGGTCAGTGATATCTTTGGGGATGAGGATCTCCACAGGGTCTCGCCCCTTAGCCGGAAGTGGGGATGACTTTGGGGTCTCCGCATTGAGCGCTCGACTCACTTCCTCATCCAGGAGGCTATTCAGGTTCAATGGATCAAATATATTGCCCCCCAGAAGAAAATTGGAGGGTAACACCGAGTCGCAGTCCGAATTCACCCGCCGGCGCCTCTTGAAGGCCGGATGCTTGAAGCCTCCACCGCTCCCTCCCCCTACGTTACAGCTATTTCTTCTTTTGCCCCCGCCACCCCCGGGGGGTCGGTGGGGCTGGTAGCCATTGCGGGGTCGAGGAGGGGCCGGGGGACCCAGGTCCGTCCCGCCCCCTCCCCGTCGCTCCTCCCCCGCGTCCGCAGGAGCGGAGGCTCGCCCGTGGAGCTCCCCGTGCGCCTGTGCCTGGGGGCCGCCCCCTCCGCCGCCCGCGGCCCCGGACGAGGGCGCGCGTGGGCCCGGCCCGCGTTCCGAGCCGTCGCGGAGCTCCCCGGAGGCGGCCTCCCGGTGCGATCGCACCTCGGGGCCGCCCCCTCCGCCCGACTCATCTTTGAGCGGCGGCGGCGGGGCCGGCACCAGAAAGGGCTCCTTCTCCGCCGCCATCTCGATCATCTCCTCTCCCTGTGTAATGTCCCCTGCCCAAGCGAGGGAACCGAGGAGAGACCGAGCGGGAGCCCCCCGCAAACCCTTCCCGAGACCGCCTCCCTCCCTCCCCGTCCCCGGGTGCGCGCGCAGCTCTGCCTGGCGCCCAAGCGCCGCCGGCTCCCTCCCGCGACACACCGAGCGCGCCCCACTCGCCCGCGAGACCAAAACAAGATGCCCGCGAGACCCGGGCAAGCCGAGGGACCAACTGCGCGTGCGCCGCCACCCTTCTCTCCGCCGCCACTACCACTCTGGCGCGAGCGCGCACGACGGGCGCGCGGCGCGCTCGCCCAGGGTCCACGCATGCGCACTCCGCCGCCGCCCTGGCTGCGCGCGCATCGGGAGTGCGACCCAACTTAACGGCTCCGAGAGTTTGAATACAGCCCCCCCCTGCCCAGTAGCGTCACCCTCCCCCAGCCCGAGACGCCCACCGCCCCACACGGACACCCGACTTCCCTTCGCCGCTCCGTCCAAGCCCCACCGATATCCTTTGTCTCCGCCGTGCGAGCCCACCCACCGTAGGCGGGGAAGCGCAGCGGGTGCGGAAAGGTCTCCTTGACACCCGACCCTTGCTCCTGAGGAATGAGGCTCCGCGGTCTCCGCCCGGCTCCGAACCCAAAAACCTCCCCGCCCCGCCTCCTTCCTCCCCATCCCCGCCCCTCCCGGAGGGCGCCTGCGCACAGGCCTGTCGGGCCGGCGCGGGTAGAAGGCGCGACACGTGCTGGAGGCGATGCCCCGCCCCTCAGCCCTAGGGGCGGGGACTGCGACGTCGCCTCCTCAGGTTAGGAGCGCGGCGTGCGTCCCCCGGCGAAAGGGGCGGGCTCATGGAGTATCTCCTCCCCTCTTCCTTCCGCCCGCCTACTCGGAAGCAGGAGGGCTTCGGGAACCGGGTAGCCGAGCGCCGTTCTCAGTAACACGCAGCACATCATTTAAGGTCGTCTCTGCGGCGGAAACAATAAAAATGCACCAAACATCGGACGCCAAGTTCCTCTTCCCTCCTCCTCTCCCCCGACAGGGCCACACCTTCCGCCCTCCACCTCCGTCTGGACTCGGACGCCTCCGCCCCAGCGCGGCCGTCCCCAGCCTGCAGCGCGCCCGGAGGCTGCTCTGCCCCACGTCACACACCGGCGCGCGTGGGCGGGTGGGCGGGAGCGGGTGACGACTCGCTTCGTGCCCTCTGCTCCGGCCAACGGGAGGCCCTGATGCGCCGCCGGGTCCCCCGAGGGCTGGCAGGCGGAGTTTCCCCGCCGACGCACTTGCCAGCCGAGAGCACGGTAGAGGCAAGAGTGGAGCCCAAGACGGGCTAAACAGAACGTGAAAGCGTGAGGGAAACGAAAAGACAACGGGTTATAGCGTGAAAACAAGAAGGAGGAGGCGATCGGAAGCGGAGACGAGCAGAACGAAGTGCCTCGGGCGCTCGGCTGCCTACGGGCGCCCGCGAGGATTATGGGACTTGTAGTTTCAGCCGGCTTTAGAGTGGGAGGTGGCGCTGTGCTCCGGCGGCGCACGCGCATCCCCTGCGCGCACGCCGCTCGGGGGCGGGGCTTGTCGGTGTCCTCGCGCCTTCTCTAGGTGGCGGGAAAAGCAGTGGCGTGTGCGGGATGGCCGCGCCTCATCCTTAGGTCCTCGTCGCCCCGGAAGGTAGCTGGCCGCTTTTTATCCCGAGGAGGGCGTCCGGTGCGGTGAACCCGGCGCCTGCTGGCCGAGGAGACATTCTCCAGAGCTGCAGCCGACCCTGCGCCTTTCTCCTCAGAATCCCTAGTTTCCAATCCACTCGCAACGCAGGCGTCGTGGCGGGGCTGAGGGCTCGGGGGACCGCGAGGCTGCGCGGGAGCCCAGGGGAGAGGCTGTCAGGGTGGGACTCCCGCTCTGAGGGGAGGCGAGGCTTGTTTGACCCGGAGAGAACCCCGGAGAGAACTGTGGAGACGGAGGGAAGGGTTGCACTCCCGGGGCTGCGTGCCGACCGCACGGCGTCTCCTTAGCCTGCGAGCCCGGGGGCAGCGCGCCTTGACGCGAGAACGCGGAAGCAACCCAGAGAGCGATGTCAAGAACAGAAAAGACACCCGCCAGGCGGTGGTGGCCTCCAACCCCAGCCCCCGGGAGGCGGAGGCAGGCGGTCTCTGAGAGTTCGAGGCCAGCCTGGTCACAGAGACAGCCGGGGCTGTTGCACAGAGAAACCCTGCCTCAGTACCCCGCCCCCCCAAAAGAAGGAAACTCACAGGTGACCATATGTTTACCCCTCTTCCCCCCCCCCCCAGACAGACACAGGGTTTCTCTGTGTAGCCCTGGCTGTCCCGGAACTCACTCTGTAGACCAGGCTGCCCCTGCCTCATGAGAGCAGGAACTAAAGGCGTGCGCCACCAGCGCCCAGTGGAAGCCTAGCTTGGATAATTACTTCTGAAAGTAAATTTGGTCAGGGTAGATGGACCCCCAGTCTTTCTTTTTTGTTAAATGTTCAAACGGTTTCTAGAGCATGCGTGCGTGCTCAAAAGGAACTTAAAAACCCAGTTAGTCGGGTCATGAGAATAGGCAGGGGTTCATAGGCTTGTCAAAGGGCCATTAACTCCATCTTAAAGGAAATGAAAGTTTTTTTTTTCTTTTGGTTTCACGAGACAGGGTTTCTCTGTATTGTTTTGGAGGCTGTCGGTCCAACCTGGTCTCGAACTCACAGAGATCCGCCTGCCTCTGCCTCCCGAGTGCTGGGATTAAAGGCGTGTGCCACCACCGCCCGGCTGGAAATGAAAGTTTTAAATGAATTTTATTTTAAAAGTTTTATCGCCCTTATCTGTTTACTTGCTGTGTGGGGTGTGCTTGTGTGTTCGTGTGTGCACGTGTCATAGAGCATGTGGAGGCCAGAGGATGATCCCCCACCACCATCCTCAACATGTGGAATCGATCTCAGGCCATTAGGCTTGGCAGCAAGCACCCCTGCCCACTAAGTCATCTCCCCAGCGTCCATCCGTCTGTTCATCCATCCACCCATCTATCATTTTCAGAGACAGGGTCTTGTTTGTACCCCTGGCTGTTCTTGAGGTCACTTGTAGCCCAGACTGGACTCAAAGTTGTAGCAGTGGACTTCATCAATCTCTCAAGTGCTGGGATTACAGTCACGAGCCACTGACTGCCTTAAATGAGATTTTTAAATATAGGAGGGTTTTCTTTCTTCTTTTTTCATTTTGACAGGAATTTTCTGTAAAAATCTCAAAATAGACCTCACCCTCCTGCCTCAGTATCCCAATAGCTGGAACTCAGACATGAATCACTATTCTAGTTTACAGGAGGGTACAATAGTCCTTTTTAATGGTTGGGTCTTGCTATGTAGCCCTCAAATTTGAATTCTAAATCCTGCCTCAACCTCATGAATGCTGGTATTAAATAAGAGTCTTTGCATTTTGTAGAAACTCTTGGAATCTATGGTAATAGACAGTAGTGAAGGAGGGCTGACTTTTCTTTAAAGAGTGGAGAATCAAAATGAAGAGAGAATAATTTCATATTCAAGAGGGGGACACCGTAAGGTGAATAATTAATGCTTTTTTTTTTTTTTTTTACAAGACAGGGTTTCTCTGTATTGTTTTGGAGGCTGTCGGTCCAGCCCGGCCTCGAACTCACAGAGATCCGCCTGCCTCTGCCTCCCGAGTGCTGGGACTAAAGCACCACCACCGCCCTGCAATTAATGCTTTTTAAATAAGATTTATTATGCATAGTGTTCTGCTTGCATGTCTTCCAATAGGCCAGAAGAGGGCACCAGATCTCATCATAGATAGTTGTGAGCTGTCATGTGGTTGTTGGAAAAAAATTTAGGACCTCTGGACCAGCAGCCAGTGCTCTTAACTGCTGAACCATCTCCCCAGCTCCTAATTAATGCTTTTTTTGACAAATGACAGCACTAAATTAAATGATTTCACTTCATCAGGTCTATTTAAACTTTCATTTGTAAACATATTTTTGTTTGGGAGTATATGTTATCTGTAATAATGGTTTCATTGTGATAAATTTGTACATGTATATAATATATTCCAATCATATTCACCCTAACTATACTCTCTTAGTCCCATTTTACCAGTGGTTTCATCATTAAAAATGTTTCTCTCCTCAGCAACTAGTGCTGCCTCCAGATCTTCATAGAAGGGTGGGGTCTTATGAGTCCCCCTCCCTGCTTTTTTTGTTCCCTGAGGTATGGTCTCATGTAGTCCAGCTGGCCTTGAATTTCTCGTCCTGGTTAGAGGTTTGGGCCATCATGCTCAACATACCAGATTTGGTCTCATATACTCTTAAAATCTGTGGAGGAATCCAAGAAGTTTTATTATTATTTCTTGAGTATGTGTGCAAACCACATATGTGTGAATGCTTGCAGAGGTTGGAAGAGAGTGTCAGGTCCTGGACAGCTGGGGTTATAGGCAGTTGTGAGCCACCCAACACGGATGTTGAGAACTGAACTTGGGTTCTCTGGAAAAGCAGCAAGCACTTGCCCTTAGCTGTAGAGCTGTCGTTCCAGCTGGGATTGTCTTTTTTTTTTTTCTATTTTCCTCCCTGTCTTCTTTTCACATGAGAGAAAAGAGAAATTAAAACCTCAAATGGAGACTGGGGAGATAACTCAGCAAGTAAATACAAGTAGAGGATCCCCAGCACCCACACAAAAAACCAGACGTCGTGGTATGGACCTGTGGCAGGTGGGGACAGCTGGGTCCTGGGGGCTTGTTGACCAGCCAGTCTATCTGCAATGGCAAACTCCAGGTTCACTGACAGATCCTGCCTCAAAAATGTAAAGTGGAAAATGATGTGAGACTTCTTATCATCAGTCTCTGCCTTCACACTCTAAACACGTGCAAGTTGGTATTTTGCATATTTGTTAACTGTTTTTCTTCTCTCTTTTTAAGATTTGCTATTGTAGGAGAAGCAAATTCATCTCAATCAGGGAGCAGCAGCTTGGCTTATCGGAAAGTAACATCCTGGCTTTCTCTTACCTACTTTTTTTTTTCTTTTTTCTTTTTTCTTTTTGGTTTTACGAGACAGGGTTTCTCTGTATTGTTTTGGAGGCTGTCGGTCCAGCCCGGCCTCGAACTCACAGAGATCTGCTTGCCTCTGCCTCCCAAGTGCTGGGATTAAAGGCTCTTGTCTACTTTTTTTTAAACTTTATGTTTATTTTATTTATTGTGCATACAGTGTTCTGTCAGAAGAGGGAACCAGATCTCATTATAGTTGGTTGTGAACCATCATGTGGTTGCTAGGAATTGAACTCAGGACTTCTGGAAGAGCACCTAGTGCTCTTAACCTCTGAGCCATCTCTCCAGCCCTCTCTTATCTACTTAAGGGGATCTATTTACTGTACATCACTGCTTATGGAGTTGCTGAGTCTTATTTATGTAATGGTGCAATAATGCTCCATCTTTTTTTCCTTTTTTATGAAAATACAAGTTAGGTTTATTCATTTTATTTGTTTTATCTGAGTGTTATATATGTTCACTATTTGTGTGCTTGTTGCCTAGGTTAGCAAAGGGCATCTGATCCCCTGAATTGGAGCTACAGATGGTTGTGAACTGCTATGTGGGTGCTGAGAATTGAACCCCAGTTCTCTGCAAGAGCAGCAAGAGCAAGAAATGCTCTTAACTGCTGAGCTCTTCCTCCCTCTCTTCCTCCCTTCCTTCCTCTCTCTCTCCTTCCCTCTCTCCCTCCCTCCCTCCCTTCCTCCCTTCCTCCCTCCCTGCCTTCCTGCGTATGATGGATGAGGTCATTGTAGCTCTGGTTGGCATGGAGCTCACACTGTACTCTTCTGGAACACACAGAAATCTGCCTGCTTCTGCCTTCCAAGTGCTGGGATGAAAGTGTGTGCCACGATATCTGGCACACTTGTAATTTTGTGTGTGTGTGTGTGTGTGTGTGTGAGATCTGCCCTCCTCTGCCTCCTGAGTGCTAGGATTAAAGGCGTGCACCACCAGGCCCTGCTGTAATTCATAGTTTGTATTGTTATTTATATGTATGTGTGTGTGAGTGCAGTGACTGCAGAGACCAGAAGAGGGCGCAGTCCCTGGAGCTGGAGTAACAAGCAATTGTGAGCTGCCCGATGTGGAAGAGCCACAAGCACTGTTAACTTGAACATTGAGATAACAGAAAAACAGATGTCTCAATGCGTAGGGACCTCTGAAGGAGAGTTGCCAAATCATTTGTGACCTAAGTATTTGGGGGAACTTTACGAAATGGAAAGAGTCCCTTTTCAGTCCCAGCACTTACCATGCCCTGCCTACTCCAGTACTCCCTCTGCTTCCGTCACTGCTGCTACGGTGCCTGTCTAGTTCAAGTGCCTGCCTTAGGCCAGGCATTCAAACAACTGGGGCCTGTGTCTCAGACCCATAATCACAGTTATTTTGGTGATTGAGGTAGGATGATTACAAGTTCAAAGCTTGCCTGGGTTACAGACTAAGTTCAAAGCCTACAAAAGAATTCAAGGCCAGCCTTGGCAACTTATGGAGAACCCGTCTCAATAAAAAAAGGGCTGGGCATGTAGCTCAGAGGTAAAGTGTTTGCCTGGCTAGTATGTACAAAGGTCTAGGTTTAATATCCAGTACTGAACAACCATAAAACCAAGCATTGCTGCTCATCTTCAAAACGGCAGCTTACATTTGCCCAGGCAGGTAATCAGTACTGATCAGGGTGGGAATGGAGTGAAGAAGGCAGCCGCGTTGTCCTGGATCCCAGACAGAGACATTTAAATCCAAGAAGATGGAGAAAAGAAAGTTTAAATTGTGTTTAACCAAAGTAATAATTTCTTCCCTCTGACAGAGGCAAGGGAAGTGTAATCTCTGCTGAATGATGGCAACATTACGGAATAACGAAGGTGAGCCAAGGATGAGAAACATCATTCACTTAATACACTTCTCTCCCTTTCCCCTTTCTCCATCCTTTCCCTCAAAGGGGAGTTGTAGTCCCATGTTTCCTGTTCACACTGTTCAAACTACCATTTTGCCAGTTGCATTGAGCAAAATAAATATGACTTAGAGACAGCCCTTCTTGCTGCTCATCCAGAGGACTGGGGAGGTGTTCCCAGCACCCGCAGCAGGCAGTCACAACTGCCCGTAGCTCCCGATTCAGGGAATTGCATGCCGTTTGGCCTCCATGGGCACCTGCACGCACCTGCACACACATTCACATAAATAAAACAAAGCAGCCATGCTCAAAGAATGCATAGATTCACCGGGAGAAACATCCATGTAAGTGTTCACAATATGAAGTTAAACATGCTGAGCACCAGTGTGCTACAAATGCTCAGAAGAAATAGATTGTCACTTATACCTGTGGAATCAGGGTGCTTTTCACAGAGGAGATAACATTAGACTAGGCCTTGGGAATTTTATTGTGTTTTGTTTAGTTCAGGGAATTCCTGTATGCATTTTGATCAGTTAAAATTAAAAAGATTTTTTTTTAGAAAAATAAGATTAAGCCTTGAGTCATTTCTAAGTGCTCAGTAGTTTTTTTTAAAGCTTATTTTTATGAAGTTAAAATGAACCTGTTTAAGAAAGAAAACAATTCACACTTGAATAATTCACCTTCCTACATGCTTGTATTAATCATTTTGAATTAATGGTACACAACTTGGAGTATGTTAGAACCAGCTAATCTTGTCACATTACAAATTTTTGGGTCTCACTCTAAACTGCTTTAAAATAATCTCAGGGCTGGGGAATGGAATATGCAGGGAGGGAGGTAATGAGAAACCTGAATTTGTTAAAAGCTAATTCCGATTTGACTATTCCACCCGCAGCGTTTGGCAGTCTCTGTTAGACACTGACTTCCTAAATTTCTTCTTTTCTTTCTTTTTCTTTTTCTTTTTTGGTTTCAAGACAGTGTTTCTCTAGGTTTTGGAGGCTGTCGTGGAACTAGCTCTGTAGACCAGGCTGGTCTCGAACTCACAGAGATCCGCCAGCCTCTGCCTCCCGAGTGCTGGGATTAAAGGCGTGCGCCACCAATGCCCAGCTGATTTCCTAAATTTCATTTGATCCTATTTCTTCAGAATATGAAAAGGGAACAAAGAAAACCTTTGCTCCACCTACACAAAAATCACATAATGTGAAAACTCAGGCTGACTCATGGAAGGAGGACACCCAGGGGACCAGTTCTCCAGAGGCAGAGGCCAAGCCAAGCCAGCCCAAAACTAGCTCAAAGAAGGAGCAGAAGACAACCACAGAGCACGGTCCAAGCAGGGGCCAGAAGAAGCGAAAGGCTCAAGACAAGCCAGCGGAGAAGAAAGGAAAGGTGTGCCTCCGTTTCCTGGATAAGCCAGATAAACAGATTTATGTGTGCCTGCGCGTGTGTGTGTGTGTGTGTGTGTGTGTGTGTGTGTGTGTGTGTGTGTGTGTGTGTGTGTTTGGGAGGGGTGTTACTGAGGAATGAACCCAAGACCCCATGTGTGCTAGGCAAGCAGTTTTCCTTCCTTACCCTGTCTCTGCAGGAAAAACAAACACTTACCGATGCAGAATTTGAGGAGATTTTCCAGACTGTACTACGGAAGTCCCTGCAGGAGTACTTGGGTAAGGCCTGTGTGAAGAGAAAAAGCAGAGTGACTGTCATCTGAGGGATAGTATAAGTCTGATAGCTTCTTTCTCTCTCATCTTCCTGAGAAAATCTCAAGTGACACTTGAGATATTTAATTTCCTACCAATAGGCCTGTGTTAAATCATCTTTGGAAACATCTTTGGAAAAGTAGGTGGTGCTGACTTCAGAATCAACATAGCCTCACCTGAGTGGCTTACTTGTACATTTTTGCAGTCTACTTAGAAAGGATATGTGTATTTAAATTACTATTTATTTTTGTGTGGTGAGCACGTGTGCCATGGTGTGTGTGTACAGGTGAGAGGGCAGCATGTAAGTATCCTCCCCTACTTTTTCTCTTTCTACTTGTGGGTCCTGGGCTTCTAAGGCCTGGTGGTAAGCACCCCTACCTGCTGAGCCATCTTAGTGGCACACGTTTTGTCTGTTTTTAATATTGGTTTGATTCTTTTTAGGGATTTGGTTTTTATTACTATGTATGTAATTCTCTATGTTTAAGTGTATGCATAGGTTCATGTGTGTCTGTGCTAGTGTGTGTAGGTGGACATGTGTATAGGTACGGATGCACGTGTCTGCACATGTGAACTGAGTCCGGAAGTCCACCTTAGTTGTCATTCCTAAGGCTCTGCCTTGTTTTTTGAGACAGTGTTACCCACTAGCCTGGGGCCCAGCCAGTCTAGGCAGCTAGGAGTCTCAGGGACCTGCCTTTCCCAGTCTTCTCAGTGCTGGGATTACAAATTCGTGCCACCACACTTGATTTGTTTTATTTTGATTTTACATGGGTTAGGAGGCTTTAACTCAGGTCCTCATATTTGCAAGGCAACACTTTATTGACTGAGCTATTTCCCCAGCCCTCGGTTTGATTTTTAGAATAAAAAGGGTTGTTACACAGTCTCAAGGGCCTTTTCTGTAAGTTCATGTGATTAAGGAGAGTGGTCTCATGTAAGCTATTTGTAGGTGTACTTTCCTTAAAAGAAGTTTGAGGAGAAGTAAGATGAAGTATAGTACATGTACATACACAATAACATTATTTGGCTGCGCTGGAATGAGGCTGATCAATATAGAAAGGCGTACAGACAAATACAGATTTTAGTTTTTCTTGAATTTTAATGATTTCAAGTTCTACCATATGACAGAATATCAAAGGTAGACTCTTTGAAGCAGAAGGGTAAGTTATTTGAATGGAATGCTGTCGGTGAGAAATGCTAGAGTTTGTTTTCCTTTGCTGCTTCTCTGCTTGTAATACTTTGTTTTGGAAGGGCTGAGGTCTGGCCTTAATTTTGCAGAGACTTCCTGTGTCCAACCCATAATACCTACTAAATCAGACAAAGAACCAGGAATTACTTCTCCTGCCACTGATAATGAAAGTGCTGATGGGTAAGTTTATCCCAGAGGGACAGATTGAACCCAGGGTGGATGTAACATTGGTAAATGGTGCCCCATTTTCCTGTCTATTTAGTCGTCTATTCATTATACTTACATTGATTCCTCTTAGCTCAGGAAAGACGCCTGCTAAAGTTAGGAAGAAAACAGGCCAGGAGTTGGATACAGTGACCTCAGGAGGCCTTAGGAGGCCTGGGACTTGTATGTGGCTTTTGAGAATTGAACCCAGTTCCTAGTGCATGCTAAGTATGTACTTTACCATTGAGCTACATCTCTCAATCCAATCGAGAATTCAATTTTAACCCCTGGAGTCTATTTCAAAGGATTGGAATGGCAAATGTCTCTCTTAAAACTTTTTATCTAAATAATATCATTTCCAGGGAGAAGGTCATAGTACCAGATACTCCAGAGATTGCATCTTCTCTAGAAGAGGATGTGAACTCTGAGATTAGGACATCTAAGCCAGGCCAGCTGGCTGCTGAACCCTCTAAGAAGAAAATTAATAGACTTTCTTTAAGCAAAAGGAAGAAGAAAGCTGGTAAGTATCATCATCTGGCCTTTAACAAGGCTTTTTGTGTACGTGCATGTATGTGTGTCTGTATGTCTGTACACCATGTGTAAGTGGGTACGTATAGAAGCCAGAAGAGGTGCTGGATCTCCTGCAGCTGGGGTCACAGGTGCTTGTAAGTTGCCCTAAGTGGGCCCTGGGAGCCAATCTAGGGTCCTCTCTCTAGCTCCCAGATACCGTTTACATTTAAAAATGTTATTTATCATTAGTAGAGGGCATGTACATGCTGTTGTGATTGTGTGGTGGTCAGAGAACAGTTTTTGGGAGTCAGTTCTCTCCTTCCACTGTGACTTCTGGGGACAGCCACCTTGCCAGCCCAAGTCAGTTGTCTTTGAAATCTGGTTCAAGTACTTACTCAAGAAATAGGGGGCACCGGGCGGTGGTAGAGCACGTCTTTAAACCCAGCACTCGGGAGGCAGAGGCAGGTGGATCTCTGTGAGTTCCAGACAAGCCTGGTATACAAGAGCTAGTTCCAGGACAGCCAGTCTCAAAAAACAACAAAGATTCTCATATCTCCCCACCTCATAGTGTGTTGTTTTATTTTTCCAGAAGATGAGAAAATGGATGAAATCCAAGATGAGTGCAGTCTGAAAGACAAGCAGAAGACAATGATTCAGGGTCCTTCTCAGATCAGGGATCAGCAGGAAGAAGAAGAAAAGGAAGGTGGTTTCGGTGAGCTCAGCTGAGCGTGGAAAACTTGGGCTGAAAATTCACAATGGAGGAGATGTGTGACGACTGGGGTGTTAAAGGGAACCGCAGAGACTGTGACTTATCGTTCACGGTTGCTTCTGAGAGTGTATGGAAAGAGGAGGAAGTGGAAAGATTTCGTCTGTTTGGTTGTTTATTCACACAGTCCATACTCTGTACTGGGTATTTTAGATGGTGTCTAGGAAGAGAACTAAGGTGTGGCCCAAAAATCAAATAGAACGGTTGGGAGAGGGTGGTGTAACAATGTCAGGTGAGAGAGAGAGAGAGAGAGAGAGAGAGAGAGAGAGAGAGAGAGAGAGAGAGAGAGAGAGAAGCCAATCTTGTCAAGTGCGGCCACTGAGAAGTCACAGAATGAGAATGTGTGTGCTCAGGTACATCACAGTAAGGGATCAGGGTCTCAGCATGGCTGCTGTATGGGTTGGTCAAGGTGACTGGCAGGCTGTAGTTGGTTAAGAATTGCCACTAAGATGACTTGGTTGTTAAAGTGCTTGCCATGAAGCATAAGGACCTGGGACAGATCCCTAGAACCCACATAAAAAGCACCCACATAACGGTACACTCCTGTAGTGTAGTCCTAGAGAAGTGAGACAGGAGAGTCCATGGGCTCACTGGCCAGACAGTCAAGTGCATGCCATGTGCAGTGAGAGACCATCTCAAATTTTTGTTTTTTGTATTTTTTTTGAGACAGGGTTTCTCTTTGATACATCCCTGACTGTCCTGGAACTCATTCTGTAGACCAGACTGGCCTCCAACTCAGAGATCTACCTGCCTTTGCCCTCCCAGTGCTGGAATTCATTTCGTACTCCACCATGCCCAGCTTCGAAACTTTTTTTAAAGGTGGAGAAACAATTAAAAAAGACAGCCAGTGTTGACCTGTAGCCTCCCATATGCATGTATACACATGGATTCATGTACACACACACACACACACACACACACACCCCTCACTACCACCACCACCTTTAGTTTAGATGTGAAAAGTAAGGGGGGCAGGAAGGTAGATAAAAGGGGGTGAAGTGTGAATTCTGGTATGATTTTTCTTTTTATAACTTCCTTTTATTTTGAAACTGTGTTTCATGTACTGAAATCACCATGTAGTTGAGGATAACCTCGAATTCCTGATCTTCCTGTCTCTACCTCCCAAGGGCTAAATTATAGGCATGTGCTGCCATGCCAGGTTTATAAGTTTATTGTAAAAGAGAGGACTATGGAGGCAGCTCAGTGGTAGAGCTGTTTCCTGGCTTGTCCGGCTGCCCAGGCATGCTTTCCACACCGCAGTGAAGAGTGGAAGAGCAGCACGACAGTAAGAGCATGGGCAGATAAGAGCAACACCCGTGGAAGGTAGACACTTGAACACAGTCATATGCCAGAGGGAAGGGGAGGGATGAGGAGATAGGGCTGGGAAGAGCCAGAGAGCTTATTCTTCATCTGGAAGGTTGAAGACATTAGTCTTTGGAATTAAGGTAAGGGTGGATGAGATAGGAACTCATTTCTCTCTTCTGATTCTTTGGTTTGAGAATGAACCTAAGGCCTTGTATATGCCACCCACGCAGTCTGCCGCCGAGACGCTTTACCAACTTACTCTTTGCACAGCAGTTATTAGTGACTTATATGATATGCCAGATATAGGGGCAAGAAATGATGGACAAGGGCCAAGGAGATGGATCAGTTGATAAAATGTTTTCCAAACAAGTGTGAAGGTTTGAGTTCAAATCCCCCAGCTCACCCAGACCTGGATGCAGTAGCACATTTAAAGTAGTAAATGGAGGGTTCCTACAGGGAGATAAGAGGTGGAGACAGGAGAATCTCTACAAGCTTCATAGCCACTTAGCCTGGCATATACAGAGAGGAAGAAATGAGAGACTGTCTCAAAGAAGGTGAAGTTGTCTTCTGACCACACACATACTGTGGCATGCACACAGCCTGCATTTACATATATGCCACAGCATGCTTGTACCCACACTCACACACATAGATAAAATATCAAAGAAAAAGAAATGATGAACTGGGCCAGCCAGGTGTGGTGGCACACACACCTTTAAGGAGGCAGAGGCAGGAGGATCTCTGTGAATTTGAGGTCAGTCTGGTCTACAAAGTGAGTCCCGGGATGGCCAGGGCTACACAGAGAAACCTTATCTCAAAAAAAAAAAAACAACAAACAAAAACTAAAATAAAGCAAACAAACAACCTCCCCCAAAACAAAACAAAACAAAACAAAAAAACCGATGAGCCAATCTGATACCCCCTCCTTCATAGAAACTATAATTTAGTGTGTCAGATAGATAATAGATGTATCAAATAATGAAGATGACCTTGAGAAATTTGGTTATAAGAATCAAATAGATCACATAACGTATCAGTAACTCTAAAAAATAAAAATAAATCGGAAGGAAACAGGCTCACATACATTAAAAAACATCGAGCTGGTTGAGGTGGCGCAGGCCTTTAGCCTCAGCACTCAGGAGGTGAGGCAGGCAGACCTCTGCGAGTTGGAGGCCAGCCTGGTATATGTAGTGAGCTCCAGGTCTGCCAAAGATATATATTGAAATCATGTCTCAAAAATAAACAACGACCTAGAGTAGTAAGTATAAGGACCAGTGGAATAAAAGTTCAGCTAGTGTCTGATTGTGTGTGTGTGTGTGTGTGTGTGTGTGTGTGTGTGTGTGTGTATAGTTTGGATTTTAATGTGTATTCATGTTGTATTTGTTCATGTGTGTGCAGGTACATGCACATCTGTAGACCAGAGGCAACCTCAGCTGTTGTTCCTCAGGAACTATTTGTAATTTTTTTGAAACAGGCTGTCATTAGCCTGGAGCTCAAAAGTAGGCTTAGGTTGTCAGGCCAATGAGCCCTAGGAGTCCACCTGTTCCCATCTCCCAGTGCTGATTGCAGATATTTGCCCCTGTGCCTAGAATTTAAAGAAACTAAGTTACAGTTTATTTGTGTGTGTGTGTGTGTGTGTGTGTGTGTGTGCGTGCGTGCGTGTGTGCATGCTCTTGACATGTGCAGAGGTCACAGACAACTTGCAAGAATTGGTTCTCTTTCTACCGTATGGGTCTCAGGGATCAAACTTTGATCATCAGGCTCAGTTAGTTGTCTCACTAGCCCTATGCTCATCTTCTTTCAATGTGGCTTCTGGAAACTAAACTTAGGACTTGCAATGAAAAGTACTTTACTGACATAATTTTTATTGTAAAAGCACAAATTGGTTTGCACAGTCTTAGGGAGGCACTCTAGAGACACTATAAGCACCATTGTGGTAGTAAACATGGTCTTAATACATGCTAAAGGAGGGGCTGGAAGTGTGATCTCTTCAGGCAATCACTTGTGTGGGCTTAAATGAGCCAGAGGAAGATTTAAATGGATTATTTCTCAAAAGGAGAATCAAGAAGTTTATAAATGAATCATTTTTTTCTGTTTCTTAGAGTTGCCGAGGCGAGGAGAGCTCTCCTGGTGTAAGATGTAGAAAGGGACTGACTGTCATAGCTACAATCTGTAATAAATGTGGTGAAGAAAAAGGAGACAGTGGAGCCCTAAGTAAGATTAGGCTGCCAGGGGACTCACTCCTAAGGAAATCATGTTTCATTTAAAACCTGGAAACCAACCAGAAGTTTCCTAAGTGGAGGGTAGGAAAAAGTTTTAGGTAAGATAAGATTTGGTTTATTCTGAGTATTGAAAGAAAGCCCATGTGACTGGAGTTCTGGCATCACGGGGAGGAGGTATGAGGAGTAGCTTTGGAAAAACGGAAAGAGATAGGCAATAGCTGAATAAATAAAAACAAATTCGTACCAGGCTTTCTTTTGGGTCACCACCAGCTCCCATATCATGACCCAAAGGGTTATTATTAGTTTTGAATGCTCAACCTAGCTTAGGCTCATTTCTGGTTAGCTCTTTTGAATTAACCTGTTTTAACTCTTTTAATTTAAATTATCTGCCTTTTGTGTCAGGGCTTTTTATTTTCTTTTTGTATAATTTACTTTCACTGCTTCTCGTGTCAGCTGCCTGGTGGCTGCCTGGCTTCTTGCCGTGGGTGTTTCCCTCATTCTCTCCTCTTCCTTCTCTTGTTCTGCCCTTCTCTCTCGAGCCTAGATTTCTCCTACTTATTCTCCGTGCTCACCAGCCCTGCCTGTCCTTTCTCCTGTTAGCTATTGGCCATTTAGCCTTTTTATGAGACCTTTTATTAGGTACCTTAGGCAGGCCAGGTAAACAGATGCAATGTATCTTTACATTATTAAACACACATCCGTACATCATTTAACAAATGCAGCATAAACAAAAGTAATATACCTTTATACAGTTAAAGTAATATTCTGCAGCATAAACAAATGTAACACATCTTTACCTCGTTAAAATCATATTCCATGACAGAGATAGGCAGTAACTCAATAAACACCATAGACACTTGCAGAGTACCTGAGTGGGAGTCTCAGCACCCAGGTCAGGTGGCTCACAACCACTCATAATTCATAATCCGATGCCTTCTTCTGGCCTCCATGGGCACATGCACTCATGTGTAAACATGCAGATGCATACATGTACACAGATGTGTAAATATAAATAAAGTAAAATCTTTGAAAGGAAAATACCATGTAGTGAGAATTTTATCCCAAGGGCCGTGAGAAGCCATTGGTGGGCTGTATCCAGGTGAGGGACATCCTCAATTTAATGTTTGAAAATGATCTTCATTAGAGAATGGAGTGTGGAGGACTAACCCATTACTAAATGAGAACTAGCATCAGAATGTCATGGAAAGATGGCCTCGACCTTAAAGAAAACTGTCTCTACACTCCAGTGGAAGCCGCACACCCAAGAGAGCATACAGCTGTGGATTAGGATGATGGGAGCAGAGGTAGAAGTGGGCGGTTTTATAACGTTTTAGAGATAAAGTCACAAAAAGTAGGCAATGATTAGTAATTGGTAGAGTATGCGAGAGGAAAGTATTAAAAAGATCAGTCTCTGGCATACATTTATGTGACAGGAAGTGGAAATGGATCAGCAGAAGACACTGTGGGACAAGATTAAACATTCTGGTTTGAGTGCATAAAATTTGGCATCTAATGTATGAGATGTATGGTGTATCAGATGGCATCTAATGTATGAGACATCTAAGACATCCCACAGTTAGGACTGGAGAGTAGCTCAGTGGTAGAGCTTGTGTTCAGTATGTACACCGTCCTGGGCTCAGTCGTCAGCACCATAAAAATTAGTTAGCAATGTCGTCATACGACATAATACCACAGAGGCGTCAAAGAGCAAAGCGGCACTTAATTCATAACAGATTCCAGAGGTATACGTACAACCGCGTATTGTCAGGTGTGGAAAATGGATTTCAGAGCTATGGGGATGGGTGAGCTCGGCTTAGGGCAAAGCGTGATGTGAGGAGAGGGAAACTTTGGCCGAGCTTTGGAAGCCCTGAGTTTTTGAGACTGGGTGGAGGACAAAAAGACCTGAGCAAAGGAAACGGAGAAGGACACTGCCAGGGAGAGTGGGGTGCACCAGGGGACAGGAAGCTAGCCTCTCAGGAGTGAGCAGGCCACCAGAACGCTCCGAGTGTGTGCGGGTTACATCGGTCTCCATTGCCATGCAGCCACACTCTCGCACACGGTGAGCAGCAAACAGGTTTTCTTTCCCCCTCTCGCTCATTTCTTATTAGTTCTTTGGGAATTTTTATGATATATTTATCATATTCACTCTTCCCTCAACACCTCCCAGATCCACCCCCACTTCCCTACCCACACAACCTTTTGTTCTCTTTCTCTTTTAAAACTTGTCAGGCACAAAAAGCTGTGTGCTGTCTTGGGTGTGTGACGCTCCACTGGAGTGTAGATAGTTTTCTTTAAGGTTGAGGCTCTTTTCTAGTCTTGCTAGGTCACCTCTATAAATACCAAGCTTTTAGGTGCAATTGTATTGGTGATTTTTGTTTGTTTTTTGTTTTGTTTTAAGAGACAGGATCTCTTGTAGCCCAGGCTGGCCTTGGACTCCCAATCCTTTTGCCTCCTAAGTGCTGGATGACAACCATGAGCTACTGCACCAAGCTATTGAGGTTCTAGTAATGGGACCTAGGGTCTCTCATTGGCCTGGAACTGACCAAATAGGCTAGGTTAGTTAGCCAGTGAGCCCTAGGGATCCTCCTATCTCTGTCTGACCAGTGCCAGGGTTACAAGCACCCACCCCCATGTCCAGCAGTTTTTGTGTGGATAATGTGTCTAACTCAGTTCTCCTACTTCCAAAGAAGGCAGCCTTCTAGCCTCAAGATTTCTGCTTCTTTGTGGTATCAGGGATGGACTCCTGGGGCTTTGAAAAGTTAAGGAAGTACTCTACAGATCACTGAGCTCCAGCCTGAAGGCAACCTTTAAAGTGTTTTTTGTTGTTGTTTCTTTTAAGTTTTAATATTGTGTATATGTATGTCAGAGTATGGGTTTGTGTACATGCCTGTGGAGTATGGGTTTGTATACATGCCTGTGGAGTATGGGTTTGTGTACATGCCTGTGGAGGCCAGAAGGGAGTGTCAGATCCCCTGGGGTGGAGGTTAAGGCATTTGTGAGCTGCCCCATGTTAGTGCTGGGAGCTAAACTGTGGGAGAACAGTGCATGCTTTGAGCTGCTGGGCTAAGGCAGCCTTTCTGTTTGATGCCAACACAGGAAGAGTATCACTTGGGACTGGGAGAGAGGAGATTACAGTGTAAGACTTGAGTTTTAAGGTCAGCTCTGTCACCAAGTTAGGTTGACCTTCAGCAACTTGATGTTTTTCCTGAGATTTCGCTCTGCCGGTTTAATTCAGAGGAGATATGATTCAGGGGCCATTGGGAAAGTTCTGTTCAATTTAGTTGGATGGAAGAAGGAAGAGCATGGTTTTTTTTTCAAGACAGGGTTTCTCTGTATTGTTTTGGAGGCTGTCCTGGAACTTGCTCTGTAAACCAGGCTGGCCTTGAACTCACAGAGATCCGCCAGCCTCTGCCTCCCGAGAGCTGGGATTAAAGGCTTGCGCCACACTGCCCGGCTGGAAGAGCATGTTTTTGTCTCACCTTGGTTTCTCTTCTGTCACAGGACAGTGTCTCATCTGGGTCCAGTGTTCCTCTGCAAAGTGTGAGAAATGGAGGCAGCTCCGTGGTGACATTGATCCCTCAGTTCTCCCAGATAATTGGTCTTGTGATCAGAATCCAGGTACAAGGGAATAGAAACCTCCCTCTCCCCGTTTTTTATTGTTCCTTCATTTCTTCCCCAGCATGTCTCCTTTCAATTAGGTACAACATGGATGTGGCTGGTATTGAGGGGTTCTTGTGGGAACTGGAAAGGGAGGGTTTTCCTGTTCTGTGGGAGGAAGGCATGGGTGGTCTGGGGACCTTCATGTGTATACGAAGTGAACTCCACTTACGTCAGCCTTATCTGATTGTATCTGTGCTTCCTGGAATGCTGGTGTTGGATTATGGATAGAGAGGGATATATGACATATGGGAAAAGCAAGTGAGAAAGACCCGGTGAGCTTAGCATTCATTCTAGAATGTTTGAATGGTTCGGGACAGACTATGAACATCTTGTCCAGTGCACTTATTTTCAGATGAGAAAGCATTTTAGAGAAACCACCCCCACACTGCTCCACAGAGGGGCAGTCACTCTGGGATGAGAGCAGTTTCCTGTTTTTGGAGGCAGCATTCCTCTTGGTTCTAGCTGCATTTCCTCTGTGGGTTTCTGTTCTCTCCCCCCTGCAGCCTGTTCCACTTCCCTTTGCCCTCTCTGTGGCACACATCCTAGTTTGACCCTTTGAGCCTCCCATGAGCACAGTCCTTCTCTTTCGGCAGACCTGAATTACAATCGCTGTGATATTCCTGAGGAGACCTGGACAGGGTGTGAGAGCGATGTGGCCTATGCCTCCTATGTTCCAGGATCCATCATCTGGGCCAAGCAATACGGTTACCCCTGGTAGGGCACCGTAGCAGAGAACATCTTTCCTGAAGCTGGGCATGGTAGAGTCAAGTGGGGAGGAAAGGGTGTGGCAGTCATTTGTCATGGATGAGGTACCATCATCAGAGAGAGCATCAGTGAGGGAAAAGACAGGGCTAAGGGGGGAAGGCTTTGGAAGGCCGTAAGTTCCTGGGTGGGTGTGGGATCTCCGTCGATGCTGCAGTGAGTGGGGGAAAAAAAGAAGGATCTAACACAATTTCTTGTTTTTGTTTTGCCTTGTTTTTGAGACAATGCTGGCCATGAACTTGAAATCCTGCCTAAGTTTTCCTAGTGCCTGGGTTGTGAGGCATATTGCCACCAAGCCCTGCTTCAAGACATCTGAGATTTGAGAGGCACGCAAAGTAAAGAGAAGGATGAGTAGGTTATCGCCTCTTCGGGCCACATCCCCAGTCAGAGGTTCTGTGTACAGGCCTGCTAGGATGACTGAGCTCTCTTTTATATTGGTGGAAGTCATGTCAGTCATTTGATAGTGAGCACCAGTAGGGACTAACCGAGTATAGCATTGGATCTTCTACAAAACATCCTGCTCATTTCCATGTGTGCATGATGGTGAGGTTGTGTTCTGACCATAGGTCCTTTCTCTCTCATCCCATCCCTCTTCCCCAGGTGGCCAGGCATGATAGAAACCGATCCTGACCTGGGGGAGTATTTTCTCTTTGCTTCTCATCTTGATTCCTTGCCGGTGAGTTTCCTGGTTCTGGCCCAAGCAACTACATATCAATCCTAACAAGTTCAGAGTTACAAACATAGATTTAGCCAGTAGACACGTATGGATTCAGCTACTTAAGGAGAATGACAGATATGGAGGGAGGATAAACACATAGAGAGATGAACCTGCATTGAGATACACTTGCGTCCTAGCCTGGGGTTCCTGTGGTCAGGGTAGAGGACAGTGGAGTGAGCTGGGTAGGTGAACCAGTGCTCAAGGAGTAAAATAGCTCCAGCATTTTCCCTGTGAATCCCCACCACCCTGTCTTTCTCTGCCATTTCTGACCCATTGTTTGTTACAGTCCAAGTACCATGTGACATATTTTGGAGAAACAGTTTCTCGTGCGTGGATCCCAGTCAGCATGCTGAAGAACTTCCAGGAGCTGTCCCTGGAGCTAGCCAGAGGGGTGAGCAAACTTTGGGCATCTGTTGTGATACAGGGAACATGTTTCTTTTTGTGAGTCTTGTAAGCATTTCAACGGATCAAACGGGATGGACAGGGATGGATTATGGCACTCGGGAGCCAAAGAATACTGAGTGTTACAGCTCAGATGGAAAGGTATCCTGGAGTTTGGGAGCCAAGGAATACCACAGGTCACAGTAAGCATAGCAGCTTAAGTTGCTTCAGGGAAAAGGCTTCCCTAGTGTATCAGCTCTGCTCCAGCAGGAGAGGGTTTACCAATTGGGGATGTTTGCTCAGTGTAGCAGTTTTGCTCGTGCAGGAGAGGGTTTCCTGGGTGAAGTTGCTACAGTTCAGCTCTGCTCCCGGGAGAGTGGAGAGCTGAGTGTAACAACTCCACTCTGCCAGAGGAAGGTTTCCCTGGCAGAAGTGTTACAGCCCTGCTTGCTCTGCTCTGCCCAGGGTTGTCTCTGCTCCACTGCAAAAGAAGGTCTTCACCCGAAACTCATCCAAGAGGTTTATTGGGAGGGAAGAATCCAGGAATGTGGCACACTGGCACAGGACAGCTGGGTAGCAGGAACAGCCACAAGCTGAACAGACACAGTGTTTATATAGGGATTCTTAGGGGGCAGAGTTTTCCAGGGTGGGGATTGGTCAGCCCTGAGCTTAGGCTAGCTAGATCTCCTGCTCAGGGATTGGCTGGTTTTCTGTATAGGGTTAGGGTCAGATTTGGCTCTGGTTTCAGGGCCAAAGTGTGTTTCTTTCTCTGGTCCTTTTTAGCCTTTTGGCTCTAGTTTTAGGGCCAGGGCGTATTTCTTTCACTGGCTCTGATTCCAGGGCCAAAGCGTGTTTCTTTGGTTGTGCTCAGGGTGTGTTTATTTGACTGGACCCTTTTCCCTACAAGTCTTAGTTTGCTGTCTTTTGAGAGAGGGTCTCATATACCCCAGACTGGTCTGGAACTAACTATGTAGTCAAGGATGACCTTGAACTTCCGATCCTCCTGTCCCCAATCTCCTAAATCCTGGGACTACAGTCAAGTACCACCATGCCGTGTTCTGAGTCGCATCCATAAGGGCCCAGGTTAACTCAGGGTTTCTCAGTGCCAGCATTGTGGGTATTGTGGTTCAGATAACCCTCTGCTGTGCAGGTATGAGCAGCACCCCTGGACACTGCAGCATCCTCTACTATATGTCTTGCCCTCTTCCTTGTCCCCAAACCTTGTCTTCTGGGTGACAGTTTTCCCTAGTTGAGAAGCATGGGCTTACCTAAATTGTATTAACCCGCTGCAATCATTTTGCATTTCACTAGCTTTAAAGCAAGCAGAGATCCTGCAGCCCAACGAGATGACCTTTGGGATTATGGAGTTGGGAGGAGAAATGTTTGTTGTATGCCTCCTATTCAATAAAACTATGAGCATTAAGTTGGTGGTTCAGGGGATTTGTAGAACTGAAAAGTGAGTCACCTGAACTTCTTTCTTCTTCGACTTCAAATCCCTGTGTGATACACTGTGGAGAGGGCTTTGAAATGTCACAAGTTTATTGGGAAGGAGAGTGTTGTGTCAGTACCTGGAACTGATAGTTAAGCACCTGTAGCTAAGATAATGTCTAAGTCAGATGTGGTGATTCACATCCATAATTCAGCACTTAGGAAGCTGAGGCAAGAGATTGTGGTGAGTTTGAGGCCAATAGACTGTAGTAAGTGCCAGGCCAGACTGAGTTACAGTGTGTGATCCTGTCTCCAAAAAAAGTGATAATGTCTGGTGGGTAGTGGTATGTTATGGTCACTTTTCTAATATTATTATTGATTACTTTTTCTTTTAAAATATTATTTTTAAAAAGAAGAAAAGCCAGACAGTGGTGGCACCTGGTGGATCTCTGTGAGTTCAAGGCCAGCCTGGTCTACAGAGCAAGTTCCAGGATATCCAGGACTGTTTCACAGAGAAACCCTGTCTTGAAAAAACAAAACAAAACAAAATTTATTTTTATTGTTAATTGTGTATGTGTATGTGTAAGTGCATGCAGATACCTACCGAGGCCCAGAGCTTCAGATCTGCTAAGGATGGAGTTTAGATGATCATTAGTTGCCTGATGTGCATGCTGAGAACTGAGTTTGGGTCCTCAGGAAGAGCAATATTCTAGCCTCATACTGAACAATTCCAAGAATTACTAGTTACTTGAGGGTTCCTCTAGTGACTTTTTGTTTGTTTGTTTGTTTGTTTTTTGTTTTTTGTTTTTTGTTTTTTTTTGTTTTTACGAGAGAGGGTTTCTCTGTTTTGGAGGCTGTCGGTCCAGCCTGGCCTCGAACTCACAGAGATCCGCCTGCCTCTGCCTCCTGAGTGCTGGGATTAAAGGCGTGCGCCACCACCATCCGGCTTCTAGTGACTATTTTTTGAAGGTATATTTATCATGAACTCTAACCTTCTATTTCAGAAAAAATGCAGGAACAAGGACTACAACCAGAAACTGGAGGCAGCCATAGCAATGGCTCACAAGGCAGAACAGATCAGTATTCAGGTGGGCAAGTGCTCGGCCCACATGCTGAGTCCCATCCAATCCAAAGGAATCCAGTCCTCCTGCTGACCCATAGCAGGGGACTGGTAGCCTTCCCCATTGCTGCTCTTATTTTACAGCTTGTCCTTTCCTTCCTGGCCAGGTTTCCCTGATGCCTAAGCCACCCACACCTTTCCCTGTCCTTGGACAGGTGGTGTCTTCTCTCAGCCCAAACACAGTTTTTACCCTCAGATCCCTCTGGAAGGAGCAGGGGTGGAGTAGAGAATGACACATGAATTTCTTTTTCTAGTTAGTTGTTCCATCATGAATGAACTAGAAAAGAGACTATATAATTCATCTTCATTAAAGGTTCAGATAAAGCTAATGTGAAAATGGTTTGGAAAATGAATGCAGATTTTTGTCATAACTAGAATCTAGAAGACGCAGCAAAAGCTGGACCTGGGAGGGTGTTGGGTGACTCTGTTGTACCTGGGAGGGTGTTGGGTGACTCTGTTGTACCTGGGAGGGTGTTGGGTGACACTGTTGTACCTGGGAGGGTGTTGGGTGACACTGTTGTACCTGGGAGGGTGTTGGGTGACACTGTTGAACTTGGGAGGGTGTTGGGTGACACTGTTGGACCTGGGAGGATGTTAGGTGACACTGTTGGACCTGGGAGGGTGTTGAGTGACGCTGTTGATCCTGGGAGGGTGTTGGGTGACACTGTTGGACCTGGGAGGGTGTTGGGTGACTCTGTTGGACCTGGGAGGGTGTTGGGTGGCTCTGTTGGACCTGGGAGGGTGTTGGGTGACGCTGTTGGACCTGGGAGGGTGTTGGGTGACGCTCTTGTTTCTTGGTTCCCCAGGAGCGGGTTAGCGTGTTTGGTTTCTGGAGTCGATACAATGGATCTGACAGCAGTGGGGAAGGGAAAGGTAGGAGAATGGGTGGGAGGGTGGAGAGCTCCTTCTTCCCAAAGGACCCAAGCCTGCACTGTCTGCCTCGTTCCAGATTCTCCAGTGGGAGCACTTGTGACTGATCCACACAGCTAGTAAGGAGAGGATAAGACAGGGTGTGAGCAGTGATGAGTGGGACCATGGTGACATGGGAACCTGTAGAGAGAAGCCTTTTCCTTGCCAGCCGCTTTGGTTTTTCCCCACCAGTCACCTGGGCTCTGCCTCACATTGTAGCCCCCAAATAACACACAAGATGCTGTAGTAATTATGAGGTTGTTGGCCTTGCTTGTTTCTTACTGGGTAGCTCTGACTTAAGTATTTACTCCATAATTGTTAATCTAAGTATTTCTCTTACCAGAGAAAAGGGTCCGGACTTCTTACCCCTATGGTAGCTACATGATGACTCCCTGTGTTTCTCCTACCCAGAGTCCTCCTGGACTTCTAGTCCCACCTATCTTGCTTCCCTATTGGCCAACAGTGCTTTATTGACATATACACAGGACTTACCCCATCATCTCCTCTTTTCTGTCTAAACAAAAAGAAAAGTCTTAACTTTAACATAGTCAAATTATATATAACAGAACAGCTATCAAGCAAGAACACAGTTACAACATTTGTCTATCAACATTCAGCAAGATTTAAAGAAAATATCATCCATCCCATCCTTGTGAGTCCAAAGTTCTATATGTAGCTTATCTTTTATCATAACTAAGGAAAACTATGATTATATCTATCTGCCTTCAACTCCATCAAAGACCACAGAAGGATAATATATAAACACTAGGATTGACAGAGACATCTCGCTTCCTGGACAGTCACCCGAAGTTCCACTGTAATGTTGGGACATCCATCTTCAGCCCATAGGCTACAGTGTGTCTGAAAGATTTCTCAGCAAAGCAGGAAATTTCAAACTGTCCATCTGCATCAGCAGCCTGTCAGTCATTTTTCTGTGTCCTGCAGAAAGTCTCGTAGACTCTTCCATGAAGCATGAACCCTGAAGGACTGTTTGAGTTCAGCAGTCACTTTCCTGTGGGTCCTGCATATCTGGTTTATACAGCAACGTCAAACAGTTTAGGCAAGACTGGTGCCAGCATGTGGGATTGAATTTCCACATAAAACGACAAAAGCTTTAAAGAAATTTTAGAAACAAAAGAACAGAGAAAAGTATGGGTTCTTGGTAGCAGCATTTTTCTCAGGTGGGCTCTGTTTTGCTAGTGACAAGCAGAGACTCATGCGGCTTGCTTAAGGGAGTCTTATTGACTCAGCATAAGCAAAAAAAAACCACAAAAAAACCCCCACAAAAAACCAAAAAGCAAAAAAAAAAAAAAAAAACCAACAAGGTTCTTTTAAGAGGCTCTGCTAACAATTCAAAGGTGTGTATGTACAGCTGGAAGTGGCAGTGACCACATCTCCAAGCAGGCAGCTTTTGCTGGATGTCAGCATAGACTGAGCAGTGAGCTGGAGTCACGCTTATGCCCGCCATCTTGGAAAAACTGCAGTTTAAACAGCTGCAGTTTTAACAGATAAGACACATGGCCAGAAAAACATAAAGATTTACAGTAAAGTCAGACTTGAATGAAGAAAAACCTCTAAAGGTTTACAGTGTGTTTAAAAATATACATAGGATTGAGAGTGAAAAAGAAATGGCATAGTGGTAAATAAATAGAGAAGCCGGCTGTGGTGGTGCACGCCGGTAGGATTTGCTGCAGAGGCAGAGGCAGGCAGATTTCCAGAGAAACCCTGTCTCAGAGAAATAAATAGATAAATAAAAGTAAAAGAAATAGAGTAATAATAATAGATAAATAAGTCATGTAAGGATGGAAAATACACAGAGTCTGGATACTGTATGCTATTGTGTTTTTCAGTTTTTTGATTGCTAAAAAAGGAAAAACTGCTAAAATATACTTGATTATAAATGCTGCTGAATTAATCCAACTTATATATTTCAAAAATGCTTTGACTTCTAACTTTAAATATAAGGACCGGTTACTTGGGAAAAGAGTTTTCGTTTATGTTTCCACAGAAAATGAAAAGCTGAGGATTCCTTCCAGGCTTCTGTGGTTTGATGAACCAAGACCCCCGGAAGCAGTGGGCCAGGTGTTTCAACAATTGAGACAGCTAAGATGATGTAGCCTTACATACCATGAAAATAAGGACTTATACAGGTTTCTGTGTTTTGTCATGATTCCCATGGGTATGAACAGCGCCCTCTTCCAGCAGGAAGCAGTTTGGAATGAGCGACGTCCTAATTCCCATCTTGTTTATAAATCTTTGTTTTCATTTGAATGGGGTTGCTTCTAATTGGTTAATGATCACAACCAATCTCTTTTTAAAGGAAAAAGGAGAATTATGGTATGGAAATGAGTACTTTGTATTGGTATGGTTTTTCATTTATTGATACAAATTCAAGGTCAATTTTGTGATGTGTATATTTCTCCTCTTGGTTAAGTATTGTGCTTATACTGATCTTTTAAAACATAATGCATAATTGAATACAGACTATAGATAGTTACTTATAATAGTCAGAACTTACAGTTAGGTAAGTTAGGTTTTCTAGATATACAGAAATATATTTGAGATAGATAGACAGTCTTCAAACCTTTCAAAGACCTTCAGAAAATAATGGCATTTAAAATGGTTTAGGGTTTTCTTTACAATGAGAAATGTCTGCTCCTGGCACATCAATTACGTCTGAGAGGAAGATGGGCATCGAAGAAACTCCTTATGGAGTTTGCTTTCAAATGGCAAGATTAGCCATTTGGGCAAGAAACTGCTCTTGCCTGGACTGTTTGACTGTTGCTGTATAAACTGGATATGCAGGACCCACAGGAAAGTGACTGCTGAATTCAGTCCTTCAGGGTTCATGCTTCATGGAAGAGTCTACGAGACTTTCTGCAGGACACAGAAAAATGACGGACAGACTGCCGATGTAGATGGACAGTTTGAAATTTCCTGCTTTGCTGAAAAGTCTTGCAGACACACTGTGGCCTATGGTCTGAAGATGGATGCCCCAACATTACAGAGAAACTTCAGGTGACTGTCCAGGAAGCGAGATGTCTCTGTCAATCCTAGTGTTTACATATTATCCTTCTGTGGTCTTTGATGGAGTTGAAGACAGATAGATCATAGTTTTCCTTAGTTATGATAAAAGATAAGCTATATATAAGACTTGGGACTCATACAGATAGGATAGATGATAAAATACTTCCTTTAAATCTTACTAAATGTTAATGAACAAAATATTGTAACTATATTCTTACTTGATACCTGTTCTGTTATATATAATTTGACTATGTTAAAGTTAAGACCTTTCTTTTTGTTTAGACAGAAAAGGGGAGATGATGGGGAAGTCCTGTGTATATGTCAATAAAGCACTGTTGGCCAATAGGGAAGCAAGATAGGTGGGACTAGGAGTCCAGGAGGACTCTGGGTAGGAGAAACACAGGGAGTCATCATGTAGCTACCATAGGGGTAAGAAGTCCGGACCCTTTTCTTTGGTAAGAGAAATACTTAGATTAACAATTATGGAGTAAATATTTAAGTCAGAGCTAGCCAGTAAGAAACAAGCAAGGCCAACAACCTCATAATTAATACAGCGTCTTGTGTGTTATTTGGGGGCTACAATGTGAGGCAGAGCCCAGGTGACTGGTGGGGAAAAACCAAAGCGGCTGGCAAGGAAAAGGCTTCACTCAACAGGAACTGTCCCGAGGATCCAGGCAGTGCTGGAAGATGGGTTTCCTGAAATCACCTCCACCTCACCTCATGCATCTTGGACACACAATCTTCCTCCTCCTTCTAGATTTGATGCTCCGTGAGTCCCACAGCCCCGAGTCTTGTCTGGAGAAAGAGAAGGACTCAGAGGAGGAGAAAGAAGAGACGAAAGTAAAGCTTCAAATTCTAGTTAGAGAAAGTTCTTGTTGCTGTCTCCTTGAGATTCCTGAGGGATGTGGTTGGCACAGATTCCGGGTCCCTGTGAACCATCCATTCCCAGGCACTGACTGTCTGGCCTCACCCTGAGGATCTCCAGGAAGCGAGCCTTTCCTTCCTCAATGTGGGACCTTCTCAGCCCTTTAGGAAATTCCTTCTTGATCACAGTCTCAGTTTGTGCTGTTTCTTTGTTTCTTCATGTAATTCTGGGGAATCCCCAGTTGCTTTTTCCACCCCTTTCTCCTGTATGGAGACTTAAGATGTCACCCATTTTCTTAGCATCACTGTAAAACATGTATTTTCTACTTTCTCTTTTAGTTTACCTTAAAAAAATTATTGTTACATCTATTTACTTGGGGGTGGGAATGCAGGCCAGAGAATAATTTGAGGGAGTTGTCTCTCTCTTTTACCTTGTGGGTCCCTGTAGTCGAGCTGGAGTTGTCAGGCTGGGAGCCCCCGAGCCATCTCAGGTCTCTGATTTACCTGCCCCAGGCTTGTGTCCTCCTCCAGTCTGCATTGACTGGCACTAAACAGGATGGGAAGGGACCACGCAGGTCCTCTGTCCTGATACAGATTTACACTGCAAACCTAGTTTGACTTTCTGAAGCCCACCATTGTTCTTTAGCACCCTCTACTAAAAAGAGAAGACGTGTGTAGGTGCATGTGTGTAGGTGCATGTGTGTAGGTGCATGTGTGTAGTGTGCATGTGTGTGTGTAGGTGCATGTATGTGTAGGTGCATGTGTGTAGTGTGCATGTATGTAGTGTGCATGTGTGTAGGTGCATGTGTCTGTAGGTGCATGTGTGTGTAGGTGCATATGTGTATAGGTGCATATGTGTGTAGTGTGCATGTGTGTGTAGGTGCATGTGTGTGTAGGTGCATGTGTGTGTAGGTGCATGTGTGTGTAGGTGCATGTGTGTAGTGTGCATGTGTGTAGGTGCATGTGTGTAGTGTGCACACATGGATGTGCGAGGCATGCGGAGGCTAGGGGTCAGTCTCAGGGTCAGTCTTTAGGTGCCATCTGCCTTGGGTTCTTGAGATAGATCTGGAGCTTGTCCATTTAGTAGGAGCTAATGAACCCCAAGGATGCACTGGCTTTCCTGTCCCCAGACTGGTACGGGGATTATAAATGTGCCCCTTTGTTTGTTTGTTTGTTCTTTGGGACAGTGTTTCTCTTTATAACAGTCCTGACTATCCTAGAACTCCTTTGTAGATCAGGCTGCCCTAGAACTCATCACACAGTTTTTTTATGTGTGTTCTGGAGACTGAACTCAGTTCCTCAGGTTTGCATGGGGATCACATAACTAGGTGCCTCCTCAGTTTTTAGAAAGAGTTTGTGATTCAATTTGCCTTTTTCTGTTCTTTCCCTGTTGAAGGACCCAACTTTGCCTAGACCCAAGGCAGCTAAAACACAGACCAAAAAAATCAAGTCCAGAGGTAAGGAACGCAGCCGGAAAGGGGCGAGTCCCAAAGGAGGGAGGGCAGACGCAGAGTGTTTTCCGGGAGCTGTGCTGGACTGAGTCTCATCTCCAGGACCCCATGCCAGGGAGGTTGTCACAGCCCCCCATTCTTGTTTCCAAAGTCTTAGGTTAGAGGTGTAGGTCTCAGCTTGGTCGCCAGAGTTGATTTCTAAGGAGAACCATAGTGGGGAGAAGACCCTGGGGCAGCAATGTCAAAATGGCTGGAACTGGCAGCCACTGAGGGAACTACTAGACTGAGAATGAGCCAGAGCTGTAGAACAAGCAGAAGCCAAATGCGGGGCCACCCTCTGCCATGCCAAGCCACCAACAGCTTTTCTTCATGCTTGGGGCTGGGGCTTATGCAGGCCCAGCAGGAGGACAAGATGGGCCTCCAAAAGAGGAGATCGTGAAGACGGCTGCGGGCAGTGAGTCCACAGGCCCTCCTGCACCCGTGCCAGGAGGGAAAGAAGAACAGGGGGACTCAGAGCTGGACCACCCAGGTAGGGCTCAGACACGTGAAGCCCATGGGGAAGTGAAGTCCTTGTCTGTGTCTCCCTCCCTGGTCATCTCTGAAGAGTTCTGCAGCTCCCCATGCCTTTGTGTTGCAGTAGGAGGATTGTGAAGTTGAGGCTAGCCCATGTTGTATATGAGTTCTAGGCTAGCATGGGCTACAGAGTGAGACCCTTTTTCAAAAACACAAAAAAGGGGGAGGGGGAGAAAGAAGAGAAAGAGGAAAAGGAGGACATATGAAATTCGGAATGAAAAGCCATGTCTCAGATTGAACCTAGAACACACTTTATAAACTTAATTGTGCTCAGTTCTAGTATGGAACACCTTTAATCCCAGCACTCGTGAGGCAGAGGCATGCAGCTCTCTGAGTTCAGGCCACCATGTCCTTGCTAAGTCTTTCAGTGGTCCATGACTGATACCTGTCATTTTTCACTCACCTGTTTTGTTTTGCATGTGTGCTTGCCATGGTGCAGAGGTAGAGGCCAGAAGACAACCTCAGGGAGTCTACCATGTGGGTTCCCCATGGGACTATCTCACTGATTTGTCTTGTCTTGTTTTTGAGACAGAGTTTCCCTATGTAGCCCTAGCTGACCAGAAACTCACTCTGTAGACCAGGCTGGCCTCAAATTCACAGAGATTGCCTCCCAAGTGCTGGGACTACACGTGTGGATCACCATGCTCAGCTCCTGATTTTTAAGACATAATACTGTTAATTCTTTTGAGAATTTTTTTTCTTTTTTTGGGGGGAGGGTGGGGTTCAAGACAGGGTTTCTCTGTGTCACCCTAGTTTTCCCGGAACTCACTCTGTAGACCAGGCTAGCCTTGAACTCAGAGATCCACCTGCCTCTGCCTCCTGAGTGCTGGGATTAAAGGGCATGTACCATATAGTGCATTTTGATCATGGTCACCGGCTCAACTTCTCCTATATCTGCGCTCTCCCTCCTCCTCCCCCCAGCCCCATGAACTCGTCTCCTTCCCTCACCGAATCAGGCCCTGGTAGCTTCAGGAGTGGGGCCTGGCTTGCAGTGTAGTTGACCTACTAGGGGGTTAGTCATGTCATTAAAGACAACCGACTTTTCTCCTCTAATCAGATACCAAATCAAGCACTGGCTGCCCATCCAGTCATGACTCTGGCTGCTCATGACCATCCATGACTCTAATCCCCGGGACCCAGCACCCTCCTCTGACCCACTGGCACCACAATACTGATGCGTGTGCATGCAGAGAAAACACCCATCCACATAAAAGGAAGTGAAACCCTCTTTATAAAATGCCAGTAGCTTCTCAGCTGCTCATAAGATTTCATGCCCTTTCCATACTGGAATTTCATGTGGCTAAGCTTGCACAGATCTCATGCCTGCTGTCAGTCACTATGAGTTCATATGGGCAAGCGCCCTGTTGTGTTCAGAAAATACTGTTCCCACCACCTCTGGCTCTTACACAATCTTGTTGCCCTGCCACCGTCTTTCTCAAAGGTCCCAAGCCCTGGGGAGACTAGTGTGGTAATTCTGTGTCCATGAAGTAAAGTAGTGGTATTCGGACGTCCCTTAGTGCCTAAGATCTGTCTACACACAGGTTCCTGGACCCTTTAACAGTGCCAGGTAGTGTTCCATCTCACAGAATGGGCCTTAGATTTTTGACATTTTATTCATTTTTTAGTACAAATTTAAAAAATTTTTATGTGTATGGGTGTTTTACTGCATGTATGGCTGTGCACCACTTGAGTACTTGGTGTTAACAGAGGTCAGAAGACAGTGTCAGATCCTCTGGAACTGGAGTTATAGATGATTGTGAGCAACTATGTGAGCAAGGGAATTGAGGCCCAGTGTTGTACAAGAGCAGCCAGTTCTTTTAACAGCTGAGCCATTTTCCAGCCCCTTGACATTTCAAACAAATTTAAAATGCTCAGAAGGTTTCAGATTTGTTCAAGACCCATGTTGAATACATAGCTGACACAAGCTAGAGACCATGTATGACCTGAGAATCTGTATATTGCAGTCTGATGGCTATTATCTTTTCTGATACTTTAAACATAAGATCAGAAACCTGACTGTAAAACTCCCAGATAGGCTGACTTAAAGGGACTCTCAACTTTATCCCTTGTTCTCTTTAGGCCCTAAAAAGAAATTTAAGGCTCCCAAAAGCAAGGCCTCAGCTACCACCTTACTTGAGGAGAAAGAAATTAAAATTGTGTCCAAGTGCTCGACCCCACCAGCTGTCCATGGGGCTTGTCCATTGGGAAAGGAAGGTGCTGGACCTCAGGAGCCCCTGACACGGGAGGCAGCACTCTTCCCCCTTGACGATGATGGTTCCAGTGACCTGGACTTGGAGCAACTCATGGAAGACATTGGAGAGCCAGAGGAGAGAGGGGATTCGCAGCAGAGGGACGGCTCAGAGGGGTTCCTGGCAGCCCTCTTTGAGGAGTAGTGTGTTCTGGTACTCCTACTGTTGTCTGCCTCTTAGCATTTGAGCAGCTGTAGAATGTCGGGGTTGTTGACATGGTTCAAGTCAGAACTGTGCAGCCTGTATTAATAAAACTGGTCTTGGGGGCTACTGCTGACGTGTGCTTCTTTTCCCGTCACTAGGGCAAACTGCCTGCTCTGGAGGGTATAGAAGCTGGGGACAGCAGCAAGGCCCAGACCTGGGGGAACCTCCAGAGAAGCATGTCTGTGAGTCCTGGCTCTGCTCCTCCCAGGGAGCGACATGGCCTTAGGAAAGCATTGTAGGCATCTGGTGTCTAGTTCCCTGTCTCCTGCCATCTACCTAGGGTTGGTGCTCACGCCCAGTGCAGTGGTACATGGGAACCAGTCACAGTGTGTGCTGGTTATCACATTACACATGTGGGTGCTGCCAGCACTTGGGGCATCCCCTGCCTTGGGCAGCTAGGAAAAAGTGATAGAGGAGGGGTCTTTGAGGGCCAGAAGTCAAGGGTCACAATCGATGTCCCTTAGTTAGATTCATTTAGGCAAATTCTGTGGATCTTTTTATTCTTGAGAGACAGGCCTAGGAAGTTAGAAAAGGGAACTGGGAGTTTCTCAGTTTCTGTGAGTTCAAACTCCCTGACATGTGAATTTCTGTCTCTGGCCATGGGTGTCTGTGACCCTGAGCTTCTGTTTCTGGCTGTGGTATCAGTGGAGTCTTCCTACTAGAAGCAGAGGTGACTCTGAGGTGGCCGCCCAGACCCACTCATTTGGTCCTTAGGATGGAGTACACAGTCTCCTCCTGGGGGCTCCCGTGGACAGGCTGGCAGGGCGGTGTTCCTGGGGAGGCCGGGCTTGAGAGGGCGATGGAGGCATACACGATGTTATCCTGGGGACAAGAGGTCAGAGGCAGCAGTGCAGCCGCGTGTCTGCCCCACCCACACCACCGCCTCCACCCTTCTGCCCCTTCAACACCTTCACTTCCCCCAGACCTGAGTCTCAGTTGCTCACCTTGGGGTTCCCCCTGGGGTCCTTATATTGCCCTAGAGAAAAAGGAATGCAGAACTCTGAAGTCAAGCCTTGTGACAGGAAGGACAAGGATGGCTGGGAGTTCCAACAGTGAGGCGAGGACCTTGTTTACATGGGAGGGACAGGGAGAAGGAGGGAAAGACGAAAATACTGAGGGAACGCTCATGGAAGTGTGGGGTCTTGGGAGAAGATGTCAGAGCCGAGTGTGGAAACAAGAAGCTGGCAGATTTACCTTCAGGTTCGACGTTCTGGTGTGTCTCGGTGTTTTCAATGAGTTCCCTGCATAAGAACGAGATGGGTAACACATTAGCAGCTGGGCCAGAAAGAATGGAGCCATCAGGTGCTGGCCTGGAGACGCGGCTCAGCTAGGAAAGGGCTCGTCACACAGACAGAAGTCCTGACTTCAGACCACATAAAGCTGCATGCTGGAGACGCAGAGACAGGCAGATGAGTCCCCGGAGTTCAGACCAGTGCAAGACCCTGTCTCAAAAGCAAAAGCCCAAACAAAAGAAAACCAAAACCACAAAACCCAAGATGGGTCTGGAGAAATGACATAGTGGGGGTAGTCCATGCCATTAAGAGTGACAAGCCAGATTTCATCACAGGGACCCACAGGGTGGAAGGAAAGAGACAGCTCTCTGAAGTTGTCCTCTGACATCCACATTGTGCCATGAAAAGCTCATGGTCACATACATATATACACACGCACACACACACAATGTGATAAAACAGTGGACGGCCCCTGAGAACTAACACACACACACACACACACACACACACACACACACACACACACACACACACACACACACACACGCATGCCCCTACACCAGGAGCTGAGCCAAGATGAGCATGATGGTGTTAGTCCCTCTCTGGAAGAGCATGAGAGGCCATGGGTAAGGAGGCCTGGCCGAGGGCTCTTAGCACTACCTGATGTGAGTTATTCTAGGAAATCCTGCACTGGCAGGAACAGAGACCAGAGACAGGGAGAAGTAACTCTATCCTCTCTCACTACCGTGGTTAAAACTAGAAGACAGCAGAGTTTCAGGTCCTCTGGGAAGGCGCTCAGCTGAGTTGGAGGGAGAAGCGCCCTGAGATCAGCCTGGAGGAAGAGCATCTGGCCAAAGAAGCCACCGGCAGATGAAAGGGGGAGGAAGCTGGGGAGGCAGGGTGGCTACGAGAGGGCTTGCTTGGTGTGCACAAGGCCCAGGGTTCTGTCCCCAGCACCGCATAACCAGGTGTGGAGTGATGCTGTCACCCCAACAGCTGGGAGGTGGAGGCAAGAGATCAGAAGTTCAGGGCTGGCCTTGGTTACATAGTGAGCTCGAGGCCAGGCTGGTCTGCATGAGACCCTGTCTCAGACAATAGGGGTCAGAACAGGAGGACTCCGAGCAGGCCGTGTGCAACAGGGAAAAGAAAAGCAGAGAGAAGCAGAGAGGTTGGCAGGTGAGGAGAGCAGGGCAGGAGGAACAGAAGAAGAGGACATGGGATTCCTGGGGGAGCGGGGCTCACTGACCACGGAGAAACAGAGGAGAGGTAAAGAGGGGAGGGCTGGTTGTCCCGGCAGAGGTCCAAGGACCCCAGTGTCACAGCGAGGGGAGCTTAGGAAATGGAAGGAGAGAGGGAGACAGAACCCGAGGGACCTGGGGGTAGGCTGCCCTGGGAAGGAGACTCCCTGAGACCCCTGTGCGCTCCCTCAGGGTCTGAGGCTGGTGACATTGAGGAGCCTGATGTCACCGAGGACAAGGAGGAAGCCGACCCGATGAGTCAGGGTGGGCGACGTAGGAGCCCTGCATGTGGTTTTTAAAATTTTTTTTCATGTTATTCAAGGGGCTGGAGAGATTTTGCAGTGGTTAAGAGCACGGGCTGCTCTTGCAGAGGACCCGGATGGCGCTCACCTGGCTGGGGTTTCGGCTTTCGCCGTCTGTCCTGTGGGGAAGACACAGTGTCAGTGTGACAGCCATGCTGATTTCCATCTGCCTCTGAGCTGTCCTCTGTGTTCAGACCACCTCAGAGGACAGGGGACAAAGACACTGCGCAGACGCTCAGAGTCTGGAACTACCTGTGCTGGGCTGCGGTCCTGCACAGCAACCCCTCCCCCAAACCTCTGCTAGGTCCATGCCCACCCTTCTCCTTTGTGTCCTTCCCTTCCCTTAGGTCCCCTCAACCCACACCTGCGCAGTCTGCTCCACACTTACCCTCCTTCCTGCCTGCACCTTAGAAACAGCCTCTTCCTGGGTTACATTTTACTCCGATAGTCTGTTTTTCTTGGTGCACACTGTGCTGTTTTAATTATTTATCATGTGGTAGGGGGTGTGACACAGCTTGTGTGCAGGTCAGAGGACAACTGTAGGAGACTGGTTCCCTCCATCACAAGGACACTGAGACCTTTTGCCCCCTGAGAGCCACTTCAACTTAAATAAAAGAAAATCTATTATCTATCTATGTATCTACGTATGTATGTATGTATGTATCTATCTATCTATCTATTTATCTATCTATCTATGTAGCTACTGTAGCTTTTGTTTTGAATTTTAAAGTTAATTTGCACCTATTTTGGGTAGATACCCATAGAGCAGACGCCTGTGGATTCAGGAGAGAGCTTCCCATTCGCCTGGAGCTGGAGTTACAGGCGGTTGTCAACTGCCTGACTGGGTGCTGGGAGCAGAGCTCAGGTCCTGCAGGAGCAGCCAGTGCTCTTAGCTGCTGAGCCACCCGGCCAGCCTCCTATTGCAGCTTTAAACACTCTGGGACCAGGCAGTGGGGGGCTCCATTATTGGTCACTTTTTGTTGTTACTTTTATTGTTTTTTCTACTCATTGTGTCTTGTTTTGCCTTTGAGAGTGAATGTCAATTGGAGAAGATGAGTATGTTTTGCACAGTATGTGAGACTGCGAATGCCACCTGTGTTCCCATGCCCAAGCGGGGCAGAAGAGAGGGCAGGGCACCTGAAGCAAGGCTTGCAGCAGGTTGTGAGTTGCTCTGTGTGGGTGCTGGGACCTGAACTTGGGTCCTGTGCAATAGCAGCAGCCAGTGGTCTTAACCTGGACCATCTCTCTCTCTGTCTTTTGACTCATGAATACACTTGGTTGTTGTTTCTGTTTGCTTGGTTGCTTGTTTTCGGGACAGATCTGTCAGATCCGCACAGGCACTTCAACTCGGTCCCCACTCTGCTGGTCAGCCTTCCCCTGTGGGGTTTGGATGGAGAGTCTCCCACAGGCTCACCTAGTTGGCCTTTGGTCATATGGGGAGGAGTGGAACATGTAGGAGGTGCAGCCTCCTGGAGGAGCTGTGTGTCCTGGGGGTGTCTGGAGGACTGAGTGCCCCTCCTCACTTCCGGTTTTCTCTCTGTGTTTTCTGCATGTGGTTGAAGCTGTGGCTGCACAGTGTCCCCCATTACTAATCTTCCTCAGGGACCGCAAGCCAAAAGGAACTCTGTCTTCCACAAGTGACTTCTGATCTCCGTGTTTTATCACAGCCGTGGGAGAGTTACCACCATTACACACCTCAAACACTTCCTCCTCCTGCCCCACAAGGATTGGTGGTTTCCTCAAGGAGTGTCTCAACAGACGAGCCTTGTCCTGTTCCCTGTTCCCTGCATCAGTGTGATCACTGAGTCTTTGTGTGGTTCAGGTCTCCTGCAACCTAGGATGACCTTGAAGTCCTCATGCTCCAGGCGGCACCTTGCACACACTGGAGTTACAGACGCCCACTGGGTAATCACAGAGTTGAAACTTTTGCCTCGACATTTTCCTGGTTCTGGCCATTTGTTTCCATGTGCAGCCCTACTATGATGAAGTGACACAGCGTGGCCACAACTGTCTGTTCTCTACACCCTCAGACTGCGATGTTACCATCCAGCTGCTGCTCAGAGACCCACAGCTAAGCTCTGAGCTGAACTCCTGGAATCCAGTTGTAGACAAGGAGCAGTGATGAGCAAAGGGGTCAAGACCATGCTGGGCAAACCCACGGAAACAGCTGAGCTGAGCGAGTGGGAGCTCCTGGACTCTGTCTTGACTGACGGCTGGGGACTAGCCTGAATGTGGGTGTTGGTTGGGGGCTTGGGCAGTCTGTAGGGAGGCTGGGAGTGGAACCAGTATTTATCTCTAGTGTATGAGCTGGCTTTTAGGAGACCATTCCCTATGGAGGGATAGTCTCTCAGCCTACACGGGGAAGGGCCTCGGTCCTGCCCCAAAAGACGTGACAGACTTTGTTGATCCCCTTGGGAAGTCTCAGCATCTCTTAGGAGTGGAGGGGGAGTTGGGATGGGGAGATGGTGGGGTGAGTGGGAGGAGGGGAGGGAGAGGGAACTGGGATTCTTATGTAAATTAAGATTGTTTTTTTATTTAAGTTAAATAATTAAAAAAAAAGAATCCAGCTACCTCCCTCCCCCTCCCATGTGCGCTGATTGAGGTGTGGCCACCACTGGCTGTCAGGGTTTTATTTTCGATAGTATCATAGGTATCTATTTACCGTGCGTGAGTGTGCACGTGCCATGGGTGCGTGAGTTAGGGGAAACGTCCAGTGGTCAGTTCGTCCCTTCGGCCGTATCTGCCCCGAGCACCTCCAGTGTCCTGCCCTCCTGGGCCATCGAATGCCCTGGCTGTCAGTATTTATTCTCTGACACTGTGTTATGTTTCTTTCTCTGAGAGTCCTCTGGCCACCTCCCCTGACCTTGTCCGTCCACACCACAGCTCCTCAGAGACGAACACTCAGTCCTTAGGGTTCCTCCCCATTGCCTTGTAGCTGCTGGGAAACCCGATGCTCTTACTTATCCTCCCTCTTCAAGCCAGACTGTGGGGAGTTGGGCAATACAGCTGAGCTGAGGAAACTTCCGGTCCCCTCTGCTTTCCCCTCCCCGGCTTTCTCCAGGGCAGGCCCTTTCTCCTTTGTAAGCCAAAGGGGTGGACTGATGAGGAATGACTAAGTCAACAGAGAAGAATTGAGTCTGACGGGACTGTGTGGTTCACGATATTAACCCTGCAGAAGCCTCACTTGAGGAACCGGCTTAAAGCAGAATGGAGTGGGGTTAGCAGTGCAGGCCTGCAGACCACACCAAATCCATAGCAACCAAACAAAGACCCAGCTACCCTAAGCAGAAGCCTCAGAGCCGTCCTGACCCAAGAGGAGGCCACAGGGATCTGCCCTGGGGAGACCAAAGGCCACCCTTAGCTTCTCTCCTCAAAAGCTGCCCACCTTGTTTTGTGTGTTAAAGACAGGGTCTCTCACTGGGAGGGGAGGCTCGCCAATCAGTCTAGCATGGCTGGCCATGCATCCTCAGGGATCACCCTGTCTAACCTCCTCAGCACTGGGTTACAGGGATCATGGTGATGGGACCTCAAGCTTGGGTGACAAGCACTTACTAACTGAGCTGTCTCCCGAGCCCTAGGATCTGCACAGTGAACAGTCACCTTGGATGACTGTGGTGTAGACAGTCCTGAGGAAACACTCAGGAGGTGTGATGGGGTGCAGTGTGGACCACTTACCTTTCCTTCTCTTCATCCTGATGAACACTATCAATCCCAAAACCCCAGCCAGCAGTGCAGCAGCGGCCACTGCCAGCCCAACTCCAGTTCCCTGACCCAGGACCATCGTGCCGTCTGTGGTCGTGAGGGCATTTGTCGTGAGTGCAGAGGGCACAGTGGTGAGGCTTGGAGAGGTGGTCTTGGGGGCTGGGAAGAGACAAAACAGTCAGCATGAAATTAGCCCATCAGACTAATGCAGCAAGGGCTCCAAGGACTGGAGTCTCCCAAGGAGTCTCACATTGCTTGGGAGTCAGGATTTCCTAGACTCAGTACAGGTTAAGTGAAGTTTATTTGGGTAGAATGCACTCATAGAAGAGGCGGGCACTGCCGCAGGTTCCAGCTCCAAGGATCCTCGCAAGAGAGAGCTGTGGGGTCCGGCACCCCAGATCTAATCCTCCCTCCATCACTTCCTCACCTGTGGCCACTCTCAAATGGGCGTGTTCAGTGTACAGGAGTGGGCGGGGTGGATATCTCACTACAGTTGGAGGCTGGCAGAAGGGAAGGCTGAAGCTGGAGCCAGGCAGAGAAAGGATTGGCCTCCCAGAAAGGGAGTTCACACAGTTCTGACAACTCCTTAGATCAGCTCTCAGGAGAGCCTGGAGACCCAAGGATGGCTCACTGTGGGCGGGGCCATGAAGACCGGTGACTGCTTAGCTGTGCAATCTCTTGCTTCTACTCAAGCCTGAATCTCAGGTCAGGACTGTCAAAACCCCAAATACAGAGTTGCAGGTTGTTTCTGTTCCCAATCTGGCCGCGCTGAGTAAACCTCTGTCCCCTGCTTTTCACAGTGACAGGTCTCTTTCATTGTCCTGTTGAGGACAGATGGCCAAGGCTGGCTTGTGAGAGGTGCCGGGGCCCAGGCTCTGACCCTACACTCAACTAACAAGTGGTTCTTCTTGGATTGGGGGATGGATGGGCAAATGGACATGGCTATCTTGTCTCCTTTGTGGTATGTGGGATGGGCAACAGCTTTTAGAAGTTCACATAGGCAGAAGGGATCCAATGCTAGGCTAAGAATCAAGTGAGCCATGAGAAGTCTCTGTTTCGTGGTAGGCATGTCCTCGGACCCTCATGTCATCCCTTACAAAGAGCAATCTCTAAGTCACACAGATAAAAACCAGTCACTTTCTAGTAACATTTCTCATTAGAACGTAAGTAGCTGCGGAGTGGACAACGCTGCCACCAAAGACACCAGTTATTGAATGAAAATCTCTGTGTCATGTGTGACTTCCCTATGGGTCATTGTTCAGCGAAGCTCAGGGTCCCCAAATACAACACAGACTATCTGCATTGCTCTTGGATGTCCACCATAACTGGATGGTAAGGACTATTGCTGAAGACACTGCTTCTTTTGATGTAGATATGATCAAAATGCGTTGTATAAATGTATGAATTAAATATTTAACGGAGGACACAGATGTGCCCCTGAATGTGCATGTGTGGCCAGAAGACATTTCTGGTGTCCTTTTGCAACAACCTCCACCTACTCCTCAGAGGCAGGCTCTCTCTATGAAATGGGGGCTCAAGTATCAGCCAGGCTGAAAGCCAACAAACTCAGAAATCCTCCTGCCTCCACCTCCTTGGAAGTGGTATCACAGCACATGCAGGGACACCCAGTTGTCTACATGGGTGTTGGGATTTGAACTTTGGTCCTTACAATCACAAAGCTGGTTCTCTTAACCACTCCTAACATTTTTATAAAAGAGATACTATCTATGTAGTCTACAGTGGTCTTGGACTTGCTGTGTAGCTAATGACCATAAACTTTGGATCTCCTTGTCTCCACCTCCTGAGTCCTGGGATTACAGGTATGAACCACCACCCTTTAAATAGTCTCCTTTAAGATGACTTCGGTGTAGCGCACCTGTAATGCCAGCATTCAAGAGGCAGAGACAGGTACATCTCTGTGAGTTGAAGACCAATCAAGTCTACATAGAAAGTCTAGACCAGCTAGGGATATGTAGTGAGACCATGTGTCAAAAAATCATTTTATTGCTAAAATGTGCATAATATAAGATATATCATTTGAACTATACAATATATAGTCTATTAATTTACAGCACGTCTATTTTATGGAGGAGCCACCATTACTATTCAGTTACAGACCTTTTTTTAAAATAAAGAATTTCCTTTGTTGTCCTAATTTTAGCAGGGAGTGTAGGGAAATGTGTGTGTATACATATATTCGTGTACACATATGTGTGTATGCATATGCATATGTATTAATATACATATATTACCTTCTTTCCCAGTTGTGCCAAAGAGAAACACAAAAAGCTAAGTTGTTGGACGTATAGGGGTTGAGTAACGACCGAGATGGAAACAGTCTCATCAGTCATTGATGTGGAGAAAACTAGAATCACAAAGAAAGTGCAGTCCCCAGAGGAGGAAAGGCAGGTGAGCATCTTAGAGATGGCTCAGTCCAGACAGCACTGGCCTTGTGTTCTGGTGAGTTATTTCGTCAATTTGACACAAGCTATGGTTATCTGGGAAGAGGAACCTCAGCTGAGAAAATGCCTGAATCGGATTCCCATAGGCAAGTCTGTAGGACATGCTCTTGCCTGGTGATTGATGTAGGAGCCCAGCTCACTGTGGGTGATGTCTGGGCAAGAGGTCCTGATGCTGTGACCAAAGCAGGCTGAGAGAGCTAGGAAAGGAAGCCAGAAAGCAGCACCTGTTACCTGGCCTGCACACCTAAGTCTACACAGACACATGCAGCGTAAACACTGACATGCACACACACACACACACACACACAGATGAAAAAGTAAAGAACCAGGCTTAATAACGCACCTGCTGTGACATTTGACTACCCAGAGCCCACATGAAAATGCAGCTGTGTTGAGCACTCCTTGCTGAGACAGGAGGCAGAGGTGGAGAATCAGGGAAGCTCTCTGGGCAGCCATGTTGGTCTCCATGGTGAGGAGACACAACAGGGGGACCCTGGCTCAAAGCAGGTTGGATGGAGAGCGCCCACTCCCAAAGTCCTCTGAACAAGATGCCCACATGTCTGTGCACACACAAACAGTAATGACAGGTAAAAAATGAAGTGACTGGGGAACAGAATGGCATAGACTGACCAGAAACGTGTTCTCTTCTATAAGAGAATTTAAAGTCCAGATCTGGGTTTGCACCAGGCCCCCTGAGTATACGTTATGGCTGTTTGCTGATGTTGTTGTGGAGGTGGGTGTTTCTCTGACTCTTTTCCTGATCTTGGGACTCTTTTCCTCCTATTGGGTGCCTTGTCCAGCCAATCAGGATAGGAGGGCTTTTGCCTTGTCTTGTTGTATCCTGTTTTGTCCTGTCTGAGGTCATCTCTGAGAGTCCTGCTCTTTTCTGAAGAGGAACAGAGGGGAAGTGGATCTGGGGCAGAGGGGAGATGTGGGGGATGGAAGGAGTGAAGGGAGGGAAATTGTGGCTGGGATGCATTGTATGAGAGAAGAATCTATTTTCACTGCGAGGTGGCATAGAGGGAGAAGGAGAGATTTTTCTTAGACATGAAAGAGAAAAATACAAAGGAAAATATTATTAAATTTGTCTACAAATATGGAATTATGTAAAAACAACCACAGGAATATTTTCCAAATACTTGTTGCAAATATTTCTCCTGTTGTGATTTCTTTACAATAACTGGGGACATTTTGTTTGGATAAATACAATCATTTTGAGGTGTGGATGTGTTTTCAGTGGTAGAATGCCTGCCCAGTGTGCAGAGACCCTGAGTCCCTTCTCAAGCACTGTAGACAGGAGTGACCACACCCATGTGATCCAGGACTCGGGAAGGAGAGGCTGGAGGGTCACGAGTTCAAGGTCATCCTCAGCTAACAGCAAGTTTGAGGACAGCCTGGGATACATAACATTTTGTGTTTAAAAATGGAAAGAAAAGAAAAGTCTTTTTGTCATTAATTTTAAAATTTAAAAACAATGGGTAGCAATGTTCAGTTAGTGAATTGATTTTAAAAATACTGAAGGAAGACTTCATAAGGAAGTGAGGTGTAACTCATTTCAGAGCCCTTGTCTTGCCCTCATGTGGCCTGGGGGACCCTCTGAAGTCCTGCTAAATAAGACAAACACGGTGTGTCTGACTGAGGCAGAAAAAGGCGTGGCTGCCTGAAACTGATCTTCTACCAGGCATCTAATAGGTTACCGCAAGGGCTGGGAGAAACAGGAAAGGAGCGAGGAGGCTGGGGAGAGCAGAGACGTCAGAAGGGCCATCCAGGGAAGCGTGTGGAGACACAGGAACTGCAGACTTAAGGCTGCCAGGCCGCTTCTGCCTGTGACTTCACCCTGAACCAGCACGGGGGTGAAGACCAGGGGTGGTTTGCCAGCGGGAGGCAGGGGGATCTCACCTGGAAGGGACAAATCCTTCCATCACTGGCGCTGCTGAGATTGGTGATGTAATTAAGGATAACGGTTATTATCTGACTATCCATTTTATGTATTATTTTCTAAAACGGTGTTCCTTCCTCAGACCTCACACACCTTTTCTGTAACCCCATGGGAGACGGAGACGAGAGGATCATCAGTCTTCATAGCCCATCATCCTAATCCAAATCAGTAAACCAGGTCCAGTGCCTCACGGGATAAGGTGGGTCTTAAGAGAGGACAACCAATGTTCACCTCTGGACTTCCTATGCACAACATAGAGTAATGCACATACACACACACACACACACACACACACTTACACATAGACACACATGCTTATGCCACATGTACACACTCAACAATATCAAGTTAAAAGGCAGTCCAGCAATAGAGTGAACTGGGGCAAATTCCATGTGTCTCCTGGTTGAGAGACGCTTGGAGGTAGGGGGTCCCTTTCGAGTCCTGTTCGTCTACAGCATGACCTTGGGCAGGGGTTGAATTCTGCTGGTCTCCATGTCTCTCTCTGTACAATGACCATGAGTGCCCAGCAGTGGTGACAGGCGGCTGGGTAATGCCCACACAGTGACGAGGCTGGGCCTGTGCGCACTCTGTGGAAGCTGCAGTTACAGCTGTCACGGGGGAGGTGGAATGACCAGAGGACAGGGTCACGGTGAGAACATGGGGTCTGTGTGGGAAGATGGGGTGCTGAGGAAGAGGAGAAGAGGAAATGGGAGGAGAAAGAGTAACTGGGGCAGGGAGAGGGGAGGGATGTGTCTTACAGCCTGGTGACGTAGGGACCCAGAGGACGGGTGCACACGGGGACCAGAAGGCACCTTCTGTGAAGGCACGGATTCGGTGTAAACCCAGATCTACGGAGACCCTGACTCAGGGCCAAGGGCAGGGGCTGCATCCCGGAGAGGCGGGGTTCACGTGGGTTCCTGGTCAGGAGGGTAGGGGGGCAGTGGTGCAGTTTGGAGAAAGGAGCAGGAGACTGGGCCACCTGGGAAGAGTGAGGCCCGGCAGTGGGGTGGGATCTGAGGGCACAGGGAGGGGCAGTTCAGAGAGAGCAGAGAAGCCCGAGGGTGATTGTGGGAAGAGAAAGATGAAGGCGGCAGAGCTCCGGGGAGGGGACAGAACACAGGAGAGGGACCAGTGACAGGCATCAGACACCTGAGATCTGCAGTAGCAGCTATGGTACGGGGAAGCCAGGGCCAGCAGAGCCTTACCCAGGATGTGCTCACCACGGGTGATGGTCACGTTGGTCCCAGGAATCGACTGAAATTCCTTCTTGCCTTCTCTTGAGTTCAGATGAACTCGGCAGAAGTACACTGTCTGGTCCTCCTCCTTCAAGTCCAGGATTCTGAGGACTCCGGATGTCTGAGGCTGTGTCCAGTTCAATACCAGACGGTTCTTGAAATGCTCATGTATGAAAGGTGGGGAGGAGTTGTAGATAAATTCCCCATGGAAGTTCTTCCATCTCCAGAGAATCCTCATCTGTGGATCCTTGGCCAACTTCCAGGGGAAGTAGAAGGAGAAGGGGATCTCGATGGAGCCGCCCTGGACACCAGAGAGGTGTGCTGGTTGGTTGACCCCATAGTCATTTACTCTGTTGGATCCTGCTGAAGGATGGGGAGAATCTGAAGTCACTGCTGGGTGGAAAGGACAACCCAGAGCCTCCTGAGCCATCACCCCAGGCACGTGTGAGACACAGGGCAGGACTGGTCAATGCCCCACTCACCGTCCCTAAGGGACAGGACAGACAGGGAAGGGTTGGGCTGGACCAACTCTGAGAATGAGCTCTCCTTGGGTCACAGAGGACAGGCTGTCTCCTCTATCAGACGCCTGTGCTCACGACAGCCCCCTCTCCCCAGCCCACTGGTCTCCTGTGGTGAAGGCAGAGTCCCTGCTAGCAAGGTCCCACCACTCACCAGCCTGCAGACGTGATGCTGGCAGCAGCAGAAGCAGGATCCCAGCCACGGCCTGGTTCCCTCCAGGAAATGAGAGCAGCAGAGCCATCAGGGAGAGGAACAGGCCCTGCGGAGGGGCCCTGGGGTGCTCAGGACTCAGGAGAGAATCGGGGTGCAGAGGCACACAGCCCCCGGTCTTCTCATGAGGAGGACTGAGTGTGGGCAGGACCTCCCCATCTCCACCTCCTGTGGCCAGCAACTTCCTTTATCGTCTGCCTTCTCCTTTCCCATGTTGCAGAAGACCCGCCCTGTGGTCACTGAGAAGATGGCTGTGCCCTTGAGCCCAGCCCCATTCTGAAAGGAAGATATGGAATTGGCCTCACAAAGCCAGGCTCAACTCTCTTACATATGGACCTCCTGTTGTGTGTAGTCATTTCTATTTCCTGTGTTGTCTGTAACCATGGTTTCCTCACCTCCAGATTTCCTCCAACCTGCCCTCCCCTCCGCCTGATTCTCCTTATCTCTCCCACCACGCTGGGTGTCTGTGTCTCTGTAATAATCTCAGGCAGAGAAGTGCTCAGTTTCTGCTCACTTCACACACAATGAGGAAGGAGGTGATGAGGGACACATTCAGTGCCCACCCTAGCATGGCGCCCTCACCATCGTCTGCTCTTTGTCCTCATCCTGCCTTTCAGGGACTCCTCCCAGGGCCCGGGGATAACCAGGGTCCAGTGGACACTCTCGCCCGGCTGCTCCCTGCTCCCAAGTCTATGACGGCCCTGGGCTTCCTGGTGATCGTCTCCCTCACCTCCACACAGACTGCAAAGCTACTGCAGTTTCTGAGGGTCCTTCTGCCTCCTACCAATCTCTAGGTTTCATCTGTCTGGAGACTGTGTGCAAATGTCACCTGATTGTAAGTCACTAAGGAGAGGCTGGACCTGACGAGGCTGCCATATGACATCTGCTGGACTCCAGAATTTTTAATTGCAGGTTCTTCCTTCAGGAATCTAGCTACCTCCCCCTTGTGCTCAAGCTCACTGCTGTCACCTGCTGGACCTTTAATCCCAAATCACTGGCTATGAATCCCCACAGGGACCCTCTGTGGGATGATTTCTGTCCAGGGTGCTATCATCAGTCTCCTGTAGTGACAACCATGTTTCCTCCAATAGCCATGATGCTGTCACAGGGGAGGGGCCCTTTTAGTGGAGAAGCAGCCTGGGCTGTGGTGTGCACACGTGGGGTTTTTGTGTACACTGACCACGGGAATGACAAACTGCAGCTTTAGAACATAGCTGATGCTCAGCATGGAGCACATGTAGGGCCTGTCCTCATAAAATAAATAAGTAAATGTAATTTAAAAAATTAAACCCCAAGGTAGGCAGGGTGGTACATGCCTTTAATTCTAGTATTTGAGATGCAGGGGCAGAGGCAGAGGCAGGCGCAGGGGCAGGGGCAGGGGCAGGTGCAGGGAAAAGGGCAACTGAGCATTTGTTAGCTTGAATGTAGCCTGTCCTGTATATGGAGTTCTTGGTCAGGCAAGGCTAAATGGTGAGAACTTGTTCCCACAAAACAAAGGAAACAAGAAAAGCAAGAACTAAATGAAACAAAAAGTCACAGGCACTTGGTGTCCTGAGAGGTAGTAATGACTGAGGTCTCCACATCCATGAACACACACTTGCACACACATGCTCCTGCATATGGACAAACACAGTCATGCAAAGCACCTTTCTGAGCTGATCTGCCTCCACGTGTTTACCCTCCTCCTCCTGATGGACAGGGTCTCTCCAGGATGGTCTGTGTTCCTTCAGACTCCAGCTCCTGGTCGTGTCCCCCACAGTCAGAATCTGATTTTATACCCAACAGAATCAGCCCTTCTATATCACCCAATTCCAGGAACTCTGCTCAATCATCCAAGTGCAGTCCCTGTGGGACCTGACCCTACAGAGGCCATCACTGATGAAAACTGTCCACCGGTCCACCCATCCTGTCACACCACCTGCCCTCCCACTCCTTGATTTGTTTTCCCCAGACCCACAGTGACACATCCAGACCCACAGTAACGCATCCACACCCACAGGAACCCATCCAGACCCACAGGAACCCATCCAGACCCAGAGTAACACATACAGACCCACAGTGACCCATGCAGACCCACAGTAACACATCCAGACCCACAGCGACCCATCCACACCCACAGTAACCAATCCAGACCCAGAGTAACACATACAGACCCACAGTGACCCATGCAGACCCACAGGAACCCATCCAGCTCGACAGTAACCTATCCACACCCACAGTGACCCATCCACACCCACAGGAACCCATCCAGACCCACAGGAACCCATGCAGACCCACAGTGACCCATGCAGACTGAGCCCTGAATGCAGTGGAGGAGAGGCTGGAGAGGATGGGAGGGTGGTGGCCTGTGTTGTAGACGGGACACTCAGGCTGCACCTGTGTCTTTACAACAGCACAGTTGTCCTGTCCCCATCTGACCTCTTGTTTCTCCCCTAGGATGACACCGTCACCTTCATCTCCCTCATGTGCTGCCAAATCTAAGCACGAGCACTCCCTGCACCCCCGCCTGGGAGAGCCCCAAGAAGAGATTCTGTACTGTGTTCTAAAGGTCCAGTGCGTGGAGCTGGGTGACCACGTCAGTCCCCTGCTCCTCTGGTCTGAAGTCTCACAGCCTCTGCAGATAGCCAAGGCCACAGGTAGAAATTGACAAGTCATAGAGTCTGAAGTCACAGATACGGAGAAACTCACTTTCTTCTTCAACAGTATATGTATTACTTAAAAGACAATATGAATAGTCACAATATTTGTTTAATTGAATCTAATGAGAAAACTCATGACGTCTTCAAGTTCTCTGTCTCCAGCCAGAGTGAAGTCACAGATGAGCAGCCTCCATGGCCTCTCTGTGCTGTTTGCAGTTTTGGTGACCTTTGCTGTTTTCTTGGTTTAGACACAGGGTTTCATGTAGCCCAGGCTTGCCTCAAATTCAATATGTACTAATGATTGTCTCCAATTCCTGGTCTTGCCATCTCTACTGTCAATCATCGGGACCACAGGCATCTGTCACCATGCCTGGCTTCCTCTAGTACTTCTTTTAACTGCCTGGCTCAGCCCAGGTGACACAAATCCCAGATTCCTGTAGCCAGGCTAGAACCCAGGTCTGCCCTGCAGTCAGACTATAATTCTCCTTCCCCTTGAGGGAATTGAGCTAACTGCTAAGAACGTTGGTTCTGTGTAAGTCTTTGCTGTGGGTTCCTTTGTGTTCCTACCCTTGAACAATGGAAACTGACATGGTAAGTCACATGGCCATTTGTGTCCCACCCATGAAGTTCCTTTTCTGTGCCCTGCCGTCTGGAGGAAGAAGATGAGGACCAAACCCTTCTTTAGATGGCTAGACCATCATCATGGCAGCCCACTTGTGTGAACTCCTCAGGGAAGCTCAGAGACACCACCCCAGCTGCCAATATCACTGTGACCATGGTTGTCGCTGAGTTCAGCCTCAGGAGTCACGGATCCAGTGACGTCACTGCAGACATCTGACAGCTGCCCCAGGAGACTTCACTTTAGCCATGGGGAGCCTTGGTGACTTCTCCATGACCCCTCCATCTTCAACTAGTCTCTTGGGGACGGGACACTTTCCCCAATGACTCAGCAAGACCCATTTGGGATTTTCTCTGGTGGACCTGGAGCTGCGTCCATGCAGGACCGTGATTGGCGGATCTCACTCATGCATGCCTGTTGTTATTGTGTCAAGAGACACTGACCAAGGCAACTCTTACAAAGGAAAACATTTCATTGGTGCTGGCTTACATTTTTAGAGGCTTAGTCCATTATCGTCATGGTGGGACATGGCAGCTTGCAGTCACTCATGGTGATGGAGGTGCTGAGAGTTCTATATTTTGATCTCCAGGCAAAAGGAAGTGAACTGTGTCTACCCTGAAAGAAGCCTGAGCATAGGAGAATTCAAAGACCACACCACAATGACCCTTTCTCCAACAAGACCCTACCTACCCCAACAAGACTAAGCCTCCTAATAGTGCCACTTCCTATGATAAGCTCATGAGGCCAATTACTGACAAACACACACAATGTCCATGCACCTCTTCTGGCTGTGGGACATCCAGGATTTCATTCTTATTGCTGAGTCTGGATGCTGCCCTTATGTCCCAGAGGCTCTTGGTAGAGCTGACCCACTGAGAATCAAATGTGAAGACAGACAGGGAGACCCTGAGGACAGAATACCAACATGGCGGGAATAAGGAGAGCGACTGCATGTAGACGGGCCTGTGAGGAAAGGAAGCCCACACGGGACCCAAGCAAGCATGGTCTGTCACCTGAGGAGAGCGTGTAGGGGTCAGGGGCTGTGGCTGGGATGTCAGTGACCAGGGAGTAAGGAGAGAGGAACCAGGATCCTCATGGAGTGGGGCTCAGTGTGGACCACGGTCCCTGACTCTGTCCCTGTCCCTGCTCCTGGGCACGATCTGCTGCTCTCTAGGACGTCTCACAGGGGGAGGGCAGGGGATCAAGAACAGCACTGAGATGGATGCTGGCAGGAAGACCTTCACTAGAAAGTGTTATCAACTCCATGGGCAGAGAAGGGCACAGTTGGTCTCTCAGGAACAGAGTCAGAGATGATGATCTGGGTTCTGAGGAGAGCCTCCATGATAGAACTGTGTCTTCTCTTCTTGTACCTGCCCAAGGACAGATGTGACAGATGTTACACAGCACAGGCTGCAGCCATGCTCTCTGGTCCTCACTCAGGAGACAGGGAAGCAGATGGAATGCAGGATGTGTGGTCATCAAACCCATACATTCAAGTAAACCCACCTCCCTGGGAAGATCATAGCCCCTGGAGTCCGTGAGCAGGGGACAAACAGACGAAGTCTCAGCAGTGCCTGAGGGTGTCCCTGAGAGGGAGCGGACAATTGTCCCGTTTTCTCCTTGTGTCATTTGGGTTCCCAGGAATTGAACCCAGGTTATTGGGGTGGGCAGCAGGCACCATTCCCCCCTGAGCTTTCTCGGGGTTCCACTTTTTTAAAAAAATCAATATGTAATTGTAAAAGATGTCACTTAAAAGAACAGAAAATGGTATGACCATGATTTATCATGTTGGGGAGTCCACATTTTTGTATGACATAGGCTCTCACTGGTTTGGAACTCACCAATTAGTCTGGACAGCTGGACAGCCAGCCCAGGACTCTGCTCTGCCCCTGCTTCTCCGGGGCTGAGCTTATAAACTCCTGCCCCCTGCCTTGCTTTAATGTGGGTTTTCGGGATCAATCTCAGGTCCTCCTGCCTGTGTGCCAGGGTTTTCTGTCTGAATCATCTCTCTGCTCCCTTGCATGCCTCTCAGAACAAACTTCCCAACAGCTCCTCACCTGCTCCCTGGGATGACGGGCGCTCACCTGGCTGGGGTTTGGGCTTTAGGCTGCTGGCCTGCAGGAGAAGAGACAGTGTCAGTGAGGCAGCCATGCTGACCCTCCCTCTGCCTTCAGATTCAGATTCCGGCTCAGGGTTCAAACCGAGAGTTCTGCTTCCTCTCAGGCCTGCTGCTCTGTTCCTATCCTGCAGTCTTCTTCTTACCATGGATTTAAATCGGCTTCAAAACCTGTCCCCACTAGGTTCTCATTTTGTGTTTGTTCAAGGTCTCATGGAGGCCAGGTTGACCTTAGTCTTTCTAAGTAACCACATATGGCCTTGAACTTCAGACCCTCCTGCTTCCACTTCCCAAATGCTGGGACAGATGTGCCCAGCTGGGTCCCCATATTTCATTCTTAGGATCCTTAAGAATGTTAGAAGACAACCCATTTCTCTTTACAAAAATGGGATTGGAGTTAAGCAGGGTTTGCATAGAATTTCTAGATTATTTTGCATTGTGAGGGCTTTATAGTATAAATTTTTCCATTGTCTATATCCTTACATTTTTTTAGTATTTTCATAATGTTTTACAATTTATTTTTTGGCAGTATGTATATACATGTGTGTCTATTTCCATATGTGTAAACTCATGTGAATGGCAGAGGACAGCCTTGGGCATTGACCTGCTGCAGCTGTCTCCTCTAGTTTTGGATTCAGGTCTGTCACTAGCTTGGGCTCACTGGCTGGATAAGCCTGGCAGCAGATTGAGCCTGAGTGTGCCACTGTCTCTGCCTGTCCTAGATCTGCCTACATGGTCAACGTTTTATGTGAGTCCTGAGGATGACCCCACGTCTTCATGTTTGGGGGACAGCCTGCTGACCAACTTAGCGTCTTCCCAGCTATTCTGTAAGTTTTCTCAAAAGTGTTTGGTTTTGGTGTACAAATATTTGACCTGCTTTATTGTAGGCTCTTCCTAGACCTCCCATGGTTGTAATTTCCATTTTTATACCTTATCTTCAACTCAAACAGTTATCTCTTTTCACAGGTTTCACTTCCTGTGAGAGGTTCCTGAACGCTGCTCTTTCTCAATGAGCAGCTGACCCTGAGGCACCCGAATGCCCCCTTGATTTCCTTAGGAGCAGGCTCTGTGTCCACCTGCACCGGATCTGCTGGTCTCTAAGGACAGTAATTCCAGTTCAGTCTGTGTTGAGTTCAGTCTCTGTCCTGTCCTCCTGTTCTCTTTACTTTTCCCTGCACACGCTCCTCCCTCTCCATCCCCACAGCTGAGAGAACTCAGGGGGGAGCTCAGGTGAGGGCAGCCTGTCCTGGACCACTTACCTTCGCTTCCAGCAGAGGAAGATCGTCAAGACACAGACGGGGGTTATGAGCACAGCCGTGGCCACCACCACCCCGACCGTGGCTCCCAGGCTTACGAGGGAAGGATTCCTCTGGCCCTCTGTGTCCTCCAGACCAGCTGTGGTGACGTCAGGGGTGACGATGGAGGGACTCTGCATGGTGGTTCTGACAGCTGGAGAGAGAAGAGAGTGAGCAGATCCTCCCTGTGTGAGGGAGGGATGGGGTGACGGTCACACCTTGTCTCCTCTGTGGGATGTGGGACGGGAACAGCTCTTAGAAGTCCACACAGAGAGGGGAATAAAGGCTGAGACTCTAGGAGAGCAACTGGAATGCACGCTCCCCACCTGTCCTGGTGGTTGTCCTCAGATTTTCATTTGGTCACAGATAATTAAACCCTAGAAATACAGTTGGTTTTGTCATAAGTAAATATATATATGTATATGTACATATATATATGTATTGCACACAGATGCCTCAGTCTATAGAGTGTTTGATGCTCAGAATTTAGAGCCCAAGTTTCATCCGTAGTATCCATAGGAAGCTCATGTCGAACACGGTGTGACCTTTAATCTTAGTCCTAGAAGCAGAAGCAGCCAGATCTATGAGAGTTAAAGCCATCCTGTCTACATATCTAGTTCCACTCCAAGCTGAGCTGAGTGATCTGTAATCCTAGTAGTGTGGAGGTGCAGGCATCATGTCCCTGGGGCTCACTGCTCATACCTCACCCTGTCTCAAAAAGTGAGGCTATTCCCAAGCCTTGACAGGCACATGAACAAATGTGAACACACACACACACACACACACACACACACACACACACACACACACACACACACACGAATAACAGATCCTAACCATCACCAATATAGAATACATAAAAGTGCATAACAGAAAATATACAATTTTGGCTGTAAATGCACAGCTTAGTGCTGGGCAGAGTCCGTCCATTTGCTTATAAACATCACTAAGGTCAATTTTCACAATTTACATATCTGGAAACTGTAGGCCAACAGTTCCCAACCTGTGGTTTGCCACCCCCACAGTGGACATAAGATCTCCCCCATATCAGATAATTGCAGTATGATTCATAACAGTAGCAAAACTACAGTTATGAAGTAGCACTGAAAATAATTTTTGGTGGGGGGTCACCACACCATGAGGAGCTGTATTTAAGGCCACAGCATTAGGAAGGCTGGGAATCACTGCTGTGGACCCCAGAAACAGCTCCTCTCTCTCCCTCCCTGACCCTGGCAGCTGCCGTTTGCGGTGACCTCAGGTCAGCATGGCAGCCACAGAGACCTGGGCTGAGGGCGTCCTCTCACAGGCTGGCTTTAACACAGCCAGGAGCCACAGCTGGATGTGGTGTCACGTGACTCTAATCCCACCACTTGGGAGGCAGAGGCAGGGGATTTCTGTGAGTTCCAGAACAGCCAGGGCTAAATGGTGAGACTCTGTCTTATAAAAACCAAAAGACCCAAATCTAAACAAAAAGAGCCACGGAAGAAGCCTGTGACAGACAAGGAAGCACACAGAGGCCCAGCTCCTGCAAGACCTCACTAAGGGCGCAGGGGTAACGGCCACACAGTGTCGACTCAGTGTCCCCAGTGCTCGGGACTGCAGTTCCTTCTGCCTCAGAGGAGAGGCAGGGGTCGAAGACAGAGCAACCACATCATGACAGTGGGGACATTATTTCCCAAGACATTTGGAACTTGTGTGGGAGAGGGGAGGCCCAGAAGGGAGGAGAGAGGGGAATTGGGAAGTGGAGACAGTATAAGGGAGTTGTTGGGAACATTTCCACAGAGCTACCCCTGGTTTGACTGGAGTGCTAGTACCTAGCCTTAATCTACCTTTTGTGATCACTAAGTGCTGCCTCCTGGTACACTCTGTGTGATTCTTGTCTAGAATCTTCTGAAGGTGCAAAGACTGTGGAAATTTGGTTGAAGAAGATCCCAGAACCCCTCAGGTATATTTCATCTGAGAATTTGCATTTGGCCTTGTCCCTTTGGGCAGTTTAGAGAGAGATGTTGGGGTGTGAACTAAATGGCTTAAATGCAGAACAATAGAAAAGCTACAGTGGTTCAGTCCCCTGAGAGCTAAAAAGGGTGACACTCATCCTTGAGGTGATCCTGTCTGTTGATTCCATGAATCACAGAATGGGTCGGGAGAGGCCAGGGATTTGTCCTGGGAAGCTAGCTGAGGAAATGGGGACTGTGCGGATAGATGGCAGTTTACAATTGGATTGGAGGACACCAAGAGCATCTAATGAGCACCCACTGTTTATTCTGGGCTTAGGCTGGAGCTGTGGGGAGATGCTCCACGCAGGACTCATTGGAGCCCTGCCCCAGGACCAAGTGAGTCAGCTACCTCCTGAGAAGTCACTCCACCTGGAGGTCTTGGGGAAGGACGGAAGTGGCCTGGATCCCAGTGTTAGGCTGAAACAAAAGGGGGTTAACTAGGGAGAGGGCTTATGCTGAAGCCTAGTTGGGGATGGAGCTTCACCCTAAGCAAAGTGACAGACAAGGTCAGAGGAGGCAGCAAAGGCTTGTCACATCCACAAGTGAAAAATCCTGATGGCAGATGCCTGGGCAGAGCCAAGGGAAAGGAATATGAAACCAAGCTCAGAGTTGTGAAGCATGAGGTGACATCTAAGGGACAAAGAAACCTGAGGCATCAAAGCCAGAGACAGGAGGCTCACCACGGATGATGGTCACGTTGGTCCCCTGAATGGACTGTACCCTCTCCGTGCCTTCTCTTGTGTTCAGATGAACTCGGCAGAAGTACACTGTCTGGTCCTCCTCCTTCAAGTCCAGGATTCTGAGGACTCCGGATGTCTGAGGCTGTGTCCAGTTCAATACCAGACGGTTCTTGAAATGCTCATGTATGAAAGGCGGGGAGGAGTTGTAGATAAATTCCCTATGGAAGTGCTTCCATCTCCAGAGAATCCTCATCTGTGGATCCTTGGCCAACTTCCAGGGGAAGTAGAAGGAGAAGGGGATCTCGATGGAGCCGCCCTGGACACCAGAGAGGTGTGCTGGTTGGTTGACCCCATAGTCATTTACTCTGTTGGATCCTGCTGAAGGATGGGGAGAATCTGAAGTCACTGCAGGGATGGAAAGGACAACCCAGAGCCTCCTGAGCCATCACCCCAGGCAAGTGTGAGACACAGGGCAGGACTGGTCAATGTCTCACTCACCGTCCCTAAGGGACAGGACAGACAGGGAAGGGCTGGACCAACTCTGAGAATGAGCTCTCCTTGGGTCACAGAGGACAGGCTGTCTCCTCTATCAGACGCCTGTGCTCACGACAGCCCCCTCTCCCCAGCCCACTGGTCTCCTGTGGTGAAGGCAGAGTCCCTGCCAGCAAGGTCCCACCACTCACCAGCCTGCAGACGTGATGCTGGCAGCAGCAGAAGCAGGAGCCCAGCCACGGCCTGGTTCCCTCCAGGAAATGAGAGCAGCAGAGCCATCAGGGAGAGGAACAGGCCCTGCGGAGGGGCCCTGGGGTGCTCAGGACTCAGGAGAGAATCGGGGTGCAGAGGCACACAGCCCCCGGTCTTCTCATGAGGAGGACTGAGTGTGGGCAGGACCTCCCCATCTCCACCTCCTGTGGCCAGCAACTTCCTTTATCGTCTGCCTTCTCCTTTCCCATGTTGCAGAAGACCCGCCCTGTGGTCACTGAGAAGATGGCTGTGTCCTTGAGCCCAGCCCCATTTTTGACAGGAAGATACAGCCTTGCCCTCTGCATGACAGGCTCTCCTTTCTTCCTCCTTGACCTCCTGTCGTATCCATTACTACGTGGCCTGTAACCACGGTTTCCTCACCTCCAGATTTCCTCCAACCTGCCCTCCCCTCAGTGGGCTTCTCATTATGTTTCCCATCGTGCCTGTTCTCTCTCTCTCTCTCTGTCTCTCTGTCTCTCTCTCTCTCTGTCTCTGTCTCTGTCTCTGTCTCTCTCTCTCTGTCTCTGTCTCTCTCTGTCTCTCTGTCTCTCTCCCTCTCCCTCTCTCTGTCTCTGTCTCTCTCTCTCTGTCTCTCTGTCTCTCTCTCTCTCTCTGATCATAATCTCAGGTAGAGCTCAGTGTGTGCTCACTTCAGACACAATGAGGAAGATGGTGATGAGCTGACACATTCAGTCCCCATCCCTAGTGAAGTGCTCCACCACCCCCATCCACTTTCACTCTCTTCCTGCTTTTCAGGGACTCTTCATTGTGCCCCGGGAAATCCAGGGTCCAGTGGACAGTCTCCCCCTGGCTGCTCCCTGCTGCTGAGTCTGTGACGGCCCTGGGCTTCCTGGTGATCGTCTCCCTCACCTCCACACAGACTGCAAATGTACTGCAGTTTCTGAGGGTCCTTCTGCCTTGCAGCAACCTCATCACAGGCGCAGAAGAGGATGGCAAGCATCAGAGTCCCTGGCACATGTCACATGACTGCCTCATGCTGGTTTCCTGGACTTCAGCTCCATTGAGTTCTTGCTGTCTTCCAGTGCACACAGACTTCCAGCTGCTTGCTCAGTGCAGCCTCTGAGCCCCCCTCAATAGTCAGGGATCTGCTGCTGGGCTCCACGAGGCCGTTCCCACAAGCACTTGAGTGTCCATCTAGCTGTGGCTGTTCTAGAACTTTCTTTGCCTGAAGTGGGGTCAGAGCAGCCATGTGTCACTCTTGACGTAACCACAGGGACATCTCTGAGAGTGGACACAGCTGGCCTGTGACTAGGGTGAGGTGTGAGAGGTGGGGGCAGAGGCTGTGGTGGCCTCAGGGCTGGTTCTGTAGGAGGTCATCCCACGGTTAACAATGGCATGGCTCCATCAGTCCCCTGAAAGGCAGGAAGACATGAGTATACCAGAGGAAATGGCATCAGTCTCCCTGAGTGGCACATGCGGAGGCACCTTCCCATTTCCTTAGATTCCCGGCATTGATTGCCTCCTCCATGCTTCCCCTCAGGTGACCATGCAGCCCGCCCTCTGTCATGTCTTTCTCTGGCTTCCTCACAGCCCCCATGGCCCTCAGATCCCTTGACCTGAGCCTGACATAAACTCACATGACCTCAGTCCCTGCTGCACAAGGACACACTTCTTCATGCATCCATCCTTGGAGACCAAGACAAGGAACCGCTGGGATGAGCTGACCTTGAACTCCTACAGATCCTCTTCTCTGCCCTCCCAAGTGCTGGGGTGACAAGTGTGCCACACCGTGCCCCTTTGTCTCCTGCTGGAGTAGAACCCAGGGTTCTGTGTGTGCCAGGCAGGTAAGGACGCCACCAGAGGAACCACATCTTTAGCTTCAGTGGCATCAGAGAAGGGCCTCCTGGTCTCCAGTACTCACCTCCAGGCTTCATCTGGTCTTGCCCTACGGTCGGGGGTCTGTGGGTAAAAGGTCACCTGATTTGTAAGTCACCAAGGAGGGGCTGGACCTGATGTGGCTGCCATATGTCAGCTGCTGGACCCCAGCGTTTTAAACACAGGCTCTTGATGGTCTCCTGTGCTCAGCCTCACTGCTGCCACCTGCTGGCCCCTTAATCCCAAGTCATGGGCTCTGTTCAATCCCCTAGGGACCCTGCTGTGGGATGATTTCTGTCCAGGATGCTGTCATCAGTCTCCTGCAGTGACGACCACGTTTCCCCCAATGGCAATGACTGGGGCTTGCAGCCATGATGCTGTCACAGGGGAGGGGCCATTTCTGTGGAGAAGCAGCCTGGGCTGTGGTGTGCACACGTGGGGATTTTGTGTACATGTAACCATGGAGGAGCAGGAGTATGCCCTGTCCCACACAATAAAGAAGTGCAATTTTAAAAATTAAAAGCCAGGAGGTCTAGGCATGGTGCTGTATACCTTTATTCCTAGTTTTTAGGAGGCAGAGGCAGAGGCAAGTGGATCTCTGAGAGTCTTACTGTAGCCTGATATACACATCCAGTGATAGCCTGCAATGGCCACATAGACCTTGTCTCAAAAATTTAAAACAAACAAACAATCAAAAACCCCAAATCAAAACAAACAAACAAACAAACAAACAAACAGAAAACCCCCAAATAAAAAAACAAAAAAACCCAAGGTGGATTGTGTCCTGAGTTGTAACCTGAGGTTGTCTGAAGGCATCCACATGGTGAGCACACACTCACACACACATGCACCTGAACACAGACACAGACATATCATACAAGGAGATATCTGTAGCTGAGCTGCCAGCTCATGCTTACCCAGTCTTCATCCTGAGTAGACATGGCCTCCTCAGACCAGGCTCTGTGACTCTTCAGAATCCAGTGCCTGAGAGTGTCCCCAGCCTTCAGACTCTGATTTTATACCCAGCTGTGTGTTCCCATGACAGGGTGGCAGAGAACTGCCCCGACCCGTGGGACATTCATCGTGGGGCTGGAGGGCACCTAGGGGAAAGATGAGGGCAGGAGACATGAAGAATGGACGCCAAGACAGGAGTCTGATCAAGGCGACAGCTTTATTTCATCCCAAAGGGATTTATATAGGGAAGGGAGGCGGGGGGAGGAATGGGGTGTGGCTGCAGCTGCAGTGAGCCTGGCGGAGCAAAGGTCAGGGGGGAGGGGTAGGTCATGCCGTGTCCTCTGGTAACCTAACTGCAGATTCTAACCTTATGTTTCACATTCCTCCTTCTATTGAACAACAAGCCTGTGCCCTAGACTAGGCAGATAAGCCGCAGGTCTGTTTCTGGAATTTGGCAGGTAGCAGGGTGGTCCAGAGTCACGTACTCTCTATGAGGGTTGAGTCACGTCTTCTCTTATGAGTACGTGAGGCAGCAGCATCTGCTTGATGGCCGGAGGACCCTGACATTGTAAGAGGCATGCAAGAGAGCTAGAGAGACGATTCTGTCAGGAATGCTTTGCAGGGGACATGAGGATCTGAGCTTGGTCCCCAGAACCACATTATAACCCTGGCAGGTGACATGTGTTTGTAATCTCAGCCCTGGACAAGTGAGAGCCTGGCAGACTCATGGGGCTGTGTGTCCAGCCAGTCCAGCCTCAGGGTGAGTTCCAGAGCAATGAGCGACTATGTCAAAAAAGCAATGCGGATTATCAAGGGGACAAACATTTATTTTAAATGAGGTATTTTAAAGTTACATGTTAACTGACAGAAGAAAAGTGGGGAGACAGATGCCTGCTGCCTAGCCCAAGAATCTGGGTTCAGTTCCTGGGGACACAAGTGGTGAAAAAAACTGACTCTGGAAAATTGTCCTCTCCCTGTCACAGACGCCCACAGGCACCTGAACACTGTCCGTGTTCCCAGAGTACAGATGTCTAGCTGCCAGGACCTGTGAGTAGAGTGTCAGCAAAGTAGGGGCTGGCGACCACACATCCCGCATCCTGCCTGCTGTCCTCCCTGCCTCCTGCCTGGGATTCAGGGAGCATGGCTGCAGCCTTGCCATGAAATTACCCTGTCCTTGGACAGTCGGCCGGAGAGAAGCCAGAGTTCTGCCATGTCAGCTCTGATTTCCTCTCCTGAACCCACATCATGTCTGTCTCTGGTCCAGAGAGCAGGCAGTGCTGTTTCTGTCTGTGGAGTTACTAGCACTTTTTAATTCATGTCTTACTCCCAGCATCCTTCTGTTTCTCCCCTGACCCCTCCACACTCTCCTCAGGTGACAGACCATGCTTCCTTGGGTCCCGTGTGGGCTTCCTTTCCTCACAGGCCCGTCTACATGCAGTCGCTCTCCTTATTCCCGCCATGTTGGTATTCTGTCCTCAGGGTCTCCCCTAGGACAAGACTTCCATTCTGTCTTCACGTTTGATTCTCAGTGGGTCAGCTCTACCAGGAGCCTCCGGGACATAAGGGCAGCATCCAGACTCACCAAGAAGAATGGAATCCAGGATGTCTCACAGCCAGAAGAGGTGTGCAGGCAATGTGGCAACTGCCTATAACTGGCCCCCATAAGCTCATAGAGACTGGTGCTATTAGGAGGTATAACTTTGTTGGAGTGGGTATGGCCTTGTTGGAGGAAGGGTGTCATTTTGGGCATGGGGTTTGAGGTCTCCTATGCTCAGGCTATACACGGGGTAGACACAGTTCACTTCCTGTTGCCTGGGGATCAAGATGAAGGTCTCTCAGCTCCTTCTCCAGCTCTATGTCTGACTGCATTCTGCCATGTCCACCAGGATGATAATGGACTAACCCTGAAACTCTAAGCCACCCCCAATGAGATGAGATGTTTTCCTTTATAAAAGTCGTCCTCAAGGCCCTCTTAGTGCAGTAGGCAGTGTGTCAGTCTCATAAGAGTCGTCGTCCTGTTCATGGTGTCTCTTCACAGCAACAGAAACTCCAAGACAGGCATGCACGAATGAGATCCGCCAATCACAGTCCTGCATGGATGCAGCTCCAGTTCCACCAGAGAAAGTCCCAAATGGGTACCAGTCATCGGTCTTGCTGAGTCATTGGGACAACTGTCCCCAACTCCACAAGGCTAGTTCAAGATGGAGGACTCATGGAGAAGTCATCAAGGCTCCCCATGGCTAAAGTGAAGTCTCCTGGGGCAGCTGTGAGACGTCTGCAGTGACGTCACTGGATCCATGAATCCTGAGGGTGAACTCGGCAGCAGCTGTGGTCACAGGGATCTTGGCGGCAGCAGTGTCTCCTCTGACCATCTCTGAGGTGTTCATCTCAAGGAGTGTCCCTCCGTCTCCTCCCTCAGGCAGCTGGGCCCA